TTTTTAATTTGTAGACATCGTTTATCTAAAAAAAATAGTAGGTCCATAGTTTATTGGCTCGAGTTGGGTCGAATATGAAGTTTCGTTACCGGGAGATATAAAGGAGAAGTAAACAAAGTAAACATTTTTTAATCCTGTATTTTGATTAAACTTTTTTTTCTATACAAGAATAACTTTTAACATTTGGGCAAAAAAATGTATATTTCTTCATGAGCGGCGCGCACGTTTAGCAGACGTTGGTTCCCCACGGGCAGGTGGCTTTGTCCTGTTCTAGATTCGTTGTCCCCTCAAGTGTCTCGACGCCTATCACTTCCTCTTCCTAGTCTTCCTCGAGTGAAGATGTATAGGAGTTCTCACACGAAACCCCCGTACACTTCAAACCTGCCTTTCTGCAGGAGCCGCCTGCAGTGCTGCGAGAGGGATCACTGTATCTTTCCTCCTGAAAGTGACATTTTCAAAGTTTCCATGGTTAACGTTTTTTCTTCACATGTCTTCTTCTACTTCCGAGGCCAAGTGGAAGTTTACCTCAGGTCCACCCACAATGCTGCTGCTTAGTGGCATGAGGGCATCAGTTGCAGTGAAAGGATGGCGTTGGGAGAGCTATTCAGGTAATTTGGATGACTCCTGTTTATCCCGGTTCATTCAATAATTTCCAACAAATTTCAAAAATTAATTCAATTTTAAATTTTTGGTACCTTTTTAACTATCTGATGTCCTACAATTTTTAGGGGGGGCGGGGGTAGTGGATTATATCGTTCCTTTAGGAGCCACAACGCATTAAAACATGGTGAACTCAGTTTTTTAGAAAAGTTGGAAAAAAATGGGTGTTCTATGATCGCTTGTAAAATTTTGCCTATTGGATCGATTTTGTTTGTTCATCTTTTGATCGACGCAGAACACTTAATTTACTAAAGAAATGTTATTCATAAAATAATAGACCGTTTTCGAGTAAAAAAACTGAAAAAAGTCCGAACATTTTGAGGTTTTTTGGCTGCCAAATGTTGTGCCGGGAAAAAATTGGTGTGCACTGTTCAAATATATGTTATTTGGACCCAAATGGACCATTTAAAATGATAAAATCGTTTACACCATCTATTGCAAGGATCGGCCCTTCTGACTACTTCGCATACTGCAGTTGTGAGCGCGCACTTCAAAATAAGCGCGTTTGCTGAGGCATTTGATTACCTGTTATCCACAATTTGTGACGCTTGGACCATAAAGGTCAGTCTACCTTACCCCTGATCTAAGAAATGGCACGCGAAAGTGTATTTAATTTTCATATAAATTGTAAGGTGATGCGTCATGAAAACATCAACCCCAAACTTGTAAAGTCCCTAAGAACCTTGTTTTGGGTGCTTGCCAAAACCACGTCTTTAAAAAACACACCAAAACGTCTCTATTTCCAAATGACATCGTTTGAGGTTGCGTTACCACCATTATAATTTCATTTCTGAAATTCCTTAACTAACACGCTTCAACTACAGTATTTTTAGTTAAATTTCATATAAAAAAATTTAATGAGCTTGGTGTGGTAAATATAGCTCCCGAATTTTAAAACATCTCTAAAACCGTCGTTTTATAGATGTTACAATCGTTCCATTTGTCATGGTTACTGAGACAAATATAATTAAATACTCATGCAAGGTAATAATAAGTACAAGTTCAAGACAAAATTATCTGATCTGAATATGCGAAAAATGGAAATCCACTTTTCGATTCTCCAACTCTACAGAAGTTTGCGATTACGTTGATATATTAAATGAATTTTTGGGCCAATTAAATGCTTGTAATAAGGATCGGATTTAACATGCATACAGAGAGAAAGAATGAAATTGCTAGTCACCCGTTTTGTACAGTTTTTAGGCATTAGGTGACACAATAATCTTGATTTGCTTGTTTCGATTTCAAGACATTTCATTTTGCGAAGGTACTCGTATCAAATTAATTCAAAATTAGAAAACTCTGCAACAATTATTATTTAAAAAAAGGCAAATGTGGTTTTTGTTAAGAATGAAATTATCAACCGACTTCTAAACACCTGTTTAAAATACCGACGCCGCCGACGCAATGGACTACACATGTGTTTCCAATTAGACTCGGATAGATAAGATGATTGTAATTGTCGTGTATAAATTTTTGATTTGGAAAACAATGATTGATTGAATCTAACGACAGTTACATGGGTTGAGGTAAATTTCCATACACAATATTTAGTCACCCTTCACCTATTCCAACTCCAAAATCATTTTGCATTGTATGCCCAATGTTTAAATGACAAAATCCAAATTACTTACTGCATTTTACGCGGTACCTAATCTGCGCTTGTCAAAATTCACCCTTACTTGCTTTCGGTACTAGGCACTCTCCTTCGAACCATTTGAAATTTTTGGGGACCATTCCGCACAAGATGCACTTCACTTCGCGTTAACACAATCGAATGAATGGTCAAAGTTATATTTTTGATGGAGGGGCGGTAACGTAGGTAGGTAGAAATTAATCACCTGATGCGCTTATCTGCACGTGCGGTCACTTTCAATAATTGTTTTTCCGTACCAAATGAATTCGTTCCTGAACAAATATGACATGTGAACCATTTTTTAACCCATGAGGTTGTGTTCTAAATTAATTTTCATTCTCACATGGAAAAAGCCAAAATCTGACTTTCCTTGTCTAACTTCGAATTGCACTTTGTCACTGAAGTAGCTTTCTTTGGCTCGTTCAAAAATAAACTTTAGCATCTAATTGTTTTACTCAATATTCCCACACAGTATTTGAAATATAACAATCGCAAATATTGTTATTAATTTATAATACCTGTGAGAAGGTATGCGGAGGCGCAGGTTTTTCTAAATAAAAGCGGCGATAGTAAAGTATTGGGATGGACTGTCAAGTAAGTATGGGGGAGAATTTAAGATTTCGGGAGTTCTGAGGATTTATAAGGAATTTCGTCCGATTTCAGGGATTTCCGTGGATCTCCAGGAATATTGTTTGATGATTGGTAAACATTTTTCTATTGAACCGATTTTGTTTATTCACCTTTGGTCGAAGCAGAATTTTCTTTTCCTTAATTTGCTGAAGAAGTGTGGACCGTTTTCGAGTTTTAAGCGAAAGACTGAAAAAAGTCAGAACAGTTTGGGGTTTTTTGGCTGCCAAAGTTGTGCCACTACTGGTCATTCAGGCATGTAAGGCGTTTTGAATGCTGTATTTTAGCTGCTAAGATCACACTGGGACCAGGGTGACAAGAAACTGCATTCAACCATGTAAAACCACTCCTTGAACTATCGCTATTAGCAGTTAAAAACATTGGGGAAATGTTCATTTCCAAAGATAATGACCGACTCATCCTAACTCGTAAACACACTGTAAAGGATATAAAGAAGGTGCATTAAAATTGAAACATAATAACCCAGGTTCCATTAAAAAAACGTAATTATGTGTTATAAACGCGGCCTTGTTTACAAAATGTGATATTAAGCCAAAATTGATGGGATAAGTGTGAAGGATATGTGATCGGCAAGAGCCCACACGGGGGAAAAAGGTACAAAACGCTTTCCTATAGAGATAGAAATTATATGCGGTAATACCTAATGTAATGACATTGGATTTAAGGTAAATTAATTGTCTGTAATTTTGACACGGGGTTTAATCCTTTGATACGCATTAGTAATTATCTTATTAATAATCTACGTTGACACTCGAATACGCATAGGTCTTATTGTTACACCAGTTGGGAGCGTTTTGGCCTTAGAATTCCATCCAATAAGATAAGTATAGTTGGGTGCATCCAAAATTACACTCTCCACCGTACATAAGTGAGATCTTATTATTGATGAAATATGCCCGCACATTTACAGCAGATTTGTCACATTTTATTTATTGTTCGTTCGCTCTAGCTGACAATAGGTTCCCGATTATTTAACCACCCATTCCAAAGCCAAGCTTTCTGGAATATAACAGATCGGGAATGGAGAATTGTGTCGAAAGCGAGGTGAATTCAAATTGTTCTTTGTTCATCATTGCTCTTTGCGATAAACCCCAGTTGCAATTTCTATTTGGGTCTGATACGCTTCAAATGCTGTAAATCGAATTTACTGCCTTACAGCACAAAAGTTGATTGTATCATTCAAACAAGAGCGTTTAAATTTAAATCCGCGATTTTTCATTAAGGTGGCAAGGATATCAAAATTCAACCTTTATTCGAAGGGAGGAAATCGGATGAACAAATTTTCTTATATTAAAGAAAAACTCATTATTGCACGTTTGTCAGACGTGATTAACATTTTTATTAGGTGGCGATATGCGCACTAACGGTTATTTCGGAGGGCTTGCACGAAACGAAACTAATCCTTTACGTTCCCCCTAGGGTCTATACACCATTAGGGGCATTAATATACATACTATTATCCTTGAGGAATCGATTTCTTTAAATAACCTTCACGCTAGGAAGTCGGGAGTTCGCAACAACTTCTTTTCTTGATGAGGCGTGAAAAAATTCAAAGGCAATCGATGATTTCCCTTCATTGGTTTTACAAGCCATATGGGAAATCTAATTATTTCGCCGTCTTCCCCAATGAACCCCCATCAAAAATTACAGTCTATTTTTAAAGAAATGTGCAGTTGTCGAGATTAATCAAATGTGTTCCAACTTTATAGTCTGGAACAATTTTGTTTACACTTTTGACATAGATAAGTAAATACTAAACGATTACAGCTTTCATGAGAATGTACATAAATTATCTGCTTTATTTCCCAAGCGTCACAAGATTTTAATACTCCTCACCTTCATTAACTTGTTTCTGCCTAAATGACAGTGCACGCATAATCTAATACATAATCAAACGAAAAAGTAAGGGTCAGGAGGCCGGAAATCATAAATTATGAAACAGACTGAAGCAATACAATACAATAATGTTTTTGAGGTCAAGCTGGGGTAACATCCTTATTCTTCAATCTCTAGCAATTACCTCAGTACATTAACGATAGCATAACCAAGCACTCACCATTACAATTTCCTACCGATATTAACTAACACCAGTTAGATCAAACTGTTTTGGGGTATTTAAACTTTTACAAAACAATAATACGGCCGATTGTTTATAAACATCCTCTGTGCGGTTCTCTCAAAACATTAGATCGAATCTATTAACTTTAGATGCGGATATTAATGAAACCGCAAATCGGTTTTAATCAAAATTTTCGCGCGCTTACAGGGGAAAACGTACAGCACATTCAAAATACTCGACCGTACGTGAAAATCGCGACGTGAAAACTGTAAGATTGGCGCCGACGTCGACGCGACGCTGCTCGGAATATTTCGCTCCACTTCGTTCACAACACCATTACAAAAATTGTTAGAATAATAAAATTGTGCCAGGTTTTTATATTCATAAAACCTACTAAATTATTCATTCACAGCTTGTTCTATACGTTTGTAGCCGTTTCTTTTACAATAACACGAAAAAGAGTCATTTTTTCCACTCATTCGCTCTTTGCATCAGGACAGCTTTATCATCCCTTACGCACGTAATTTAGGCAACCCACCAGATATTCTCTTAATGGATGTTTCAATCCACAGTGCACAAAAACACCAAGATACGTGAGGGTTTGCGTAAATCGCCGCGCCTGATAGGGGTTGGTTTTGCTATAATGACCGATTACTCGAATTATAATGCTAGAAACGGTTTCATTACTTTGGAACATTCCAATGCCATTATCAACTTCTAAGTTTGGCGGGGAGAATGAAAAAGCCTACGTTTCTTTTGGAAAAAGATGTTGATTTATGTGCATAAGGAAGATATACCTATGTAGATATATCAAATCCCGTAGCATTTGGAAAGGGTCAGCGCAGTGTCTGGTATTTCCACCTGCATACCTAACCTATACCTATATACATTTTGATTTTATGCAGTACGTCCATCTTCCAGTTAACTTTTTTCTAAATTGTTAAAACTCAACGCTTCCGGACCTTGCTTTGAGTTTTAGGGGGTGGTAGTTGATCTTTTAACACTGTACTCTATCATTGAATAAGAAATCAATGACTATGTAGACGACATTTTTGTGTCATCATTCCGTTTATTTAGGGAATTGGGTGTTCTTTCAATTTCAATAGCTTCACGCGTTGCGTGTGAGAAATAGTATTTAAATTGTGTGCGGCTAAACAAAAGGGAAGCATTGTGTGGTTCGATAGCCAGAGGATTGTTTGCATTTGTTTGCACAGAATTTTTAAATCACACACCCGAATTACACAAGACTGTGTTCGTTAACACACGTGACAAGCAATTACAAACACCTTAAACCTAAAATTAAACCCTAACTTTCCCCAAACCTTAGCCTACATTAAATCTACCCACAACTAATTCAATGTTCATCAAACCCCACGGACGAAAAATAACGTGACTTTTTTTATTTGGACATGAACATTTCAAAAACTCTGTCTGCAAAACTGTAATAAAAACTGCACGTTCTCGAACGTAACGAAGCAGAGCAGATCAAGACCAAAAAGCTCCAACTATTAAATGACTTGCCTTATAACTTACACTAAGACGTTCGAAAGCGTAATGAGAGAGCATAATGGTTTATCATCTCATTTTGCCCTCAAACGTTCTGTCAAGTATCTTATTTATTAAAAAAGGATACTTTATGAAGCACTTTAATGTTGGGCAAACAATAATCATTACATTTATACATTCGAAATACATTATTTAGAATTGTGAAAAATAAAATTTTGTGTGCAGCTCAGGCATTACTCTGTTGCCCTCGACATTAATATCGCTTTAATGCCCTTGATACATAACTAACTAAACATAGGTGTCCATAAAAAAATCAACTCTAAAGATAATAAATTGTATACACAATAGACCACACCAATATCCAATAGTATACCAAGTTGCACAGATACTCATAATCACCAATAAATGCTGTCCAACATCCAAACTTCCTATCTTAAGTCCCAATACAAGTTTTCTTTTAACCACAGTATAACATTTGCGATTTTCTGCAATTAAATTTGTCCCATACCTGCCGCAAATATTTCTATTTTTTCCCAAATATTCCTCTAAAACTACTGCTAATTTGTCACATATTTCTACTTTAATAAATGGCAATAGGTACAACATCATTAAAATCATTTTCTTTTCCCGTAGTGCTAGCCCCCACCGTTATACATCCTGAATGCGTATAAACGTGGTTAAAATGGCTCAGAATGGTCCAGTTTACTGAAAATCCCGTTGATGTATGTACATCAACCTTCACCGCCTCTATTTTATTCAATTCTGGTACTTCCATAACTAATTTACATATTAAATTCACCTGCCAACATCTCGTCTCATTCTTATTCTATTCCCTCTAGTACTTCAGCTTCCTCATTAAAAAGTTTTCGCCCTGTTTGCTTGTGAATCTTCCCTAATGTTCTTTGAGGTATTGATTATCATTCGCCGCCCTGTAACTAATTTCCCTATTCTAGTTGTATCCCCTATTATCCTAATAATTTCCCCTATACCTACCCTGTTGTAATTATGTCATCCAGATTCCCGATTACCCCGGTATTGGTTTGATTTTCCCGTCCGAGCATAATAACATCATACCTGCCATAAATCCTCTATGCACAAAAACCCCTTTCGTTTTTTATTCCTCTTATTTCCCTGTCGTACTCGTGACAGCCTCCCACACATCTTTGCGCCTTAATTGCTCTGTATCATACGCACTTGTTGTTTTAAAATTCATTAATAATTTTAGCTACCCCCCGCATTTAATTTCCCTATCTCTTGCATAATAGTCTAGGCGATAAAGACATCTAACTGGACATTTTGAGGTGGAAAAGAGAAAAATGGTGGAATATGTTCAGTTAGGTGTCAGAAACAACATATTAAAAATCCCACCCTCCAGACCCTGTGCTAAAGGCTCCTGCCACCCCACCATCCCCCAAAAACCGTGTTTTCGCACTTTTTGGCTGATATCTCGCGATCTGAGGTATTAAATATTTTTAGCTGAAAATATTTCTCAGGAAATTTTATACAAGGTAGATACTCAGAAGTTAGCCTAGGTGTACCTTTTAGCCTAGGAAATTCATAAAAGAGGCGAAAATCATCAATTTTCGTGGCTTTTTGCAAATATATCGCGACCTTTAGGGCTAGATGAAATATTTTTAGCTGAAAATGCTCCTCGTGAAATTTCTTACAAGGTAGATACTCAGAAGTTAGCCTAGGTGTACCTCTTAGCCTAGAAAATTCATAAAAGGAGGCGAAAATCATCATTTTCGTGTTTTTTTGCGGTTTTTTGCAAAAATATCGCGACCGTCAGGGCTAGATGAAATATGTTTAGCTGAAAATGCTCTTCGTGCAATTTCATACGAGATAGGTAATTGAAGAGTTGGCGTAAAGTCACCTTTCACCTTCAACTTTCATGTGTGAAGAAATATTCATTGTAAAACAAAGTATTTCTATGTATTCGTATACTTAATTATAAAATTTTTTTGACATAATACTTCTTGTTGTAGGTCTGAAGAACGAATTCTGCGTCCAGTGTCATGGAGCATCGTGCCTAAAAGCGACGTCGTCTCTTCAGGGTACCCATGTATCAGGTAAAGCGGAAGACGAGAACTACGAGTCGGTAATCTCAGACGACCCACTACCACTAGAGGACGTCGAAGAGTCTGAAGAAGTGGAATCTGCATCTAGTCTATAACTTTTGATTGAGAAGTCTGATCGAAAAAGTACGAATTGATTTGGATAAGCATAAGGATAATGATTACGTTGAGGTATAAATGAATGTGTGAATATTTTAATATGAATGTACTGTTTTTACGTGAATAAATGGTACATAGAAATACTTTGTTTTACAATGAATATTTCCTCACACATGAAAGTTGAAGGTGAAAGGTGACTTTACGCCAACTCTTCAGTTACCTATCTCGTATGAAATTGCACGAAGAGCATTTTCAGCTAAACATATTTCATCTAGCCCTGACGGTCGCGATATTTTTGCAAAAAACCGCAAAAAAAACACGAAAATGATGATTTTCGCCTCCTTTTATGAATTTTCTAGGCTAAGAGGTACACCTAGGCTAACTTCTGAGTATCTATCTTGTAAAAAATTTCACGAGGAGCATTTTCAGCTAAAAATATTTCATCTAGCCCTAAAGGTCGCGATATATTTGCAAAAAGCCACGAAAATTGATGATTTTCGCCGCTTTTATGAATTTCCTAGGCTAAGAGGTACACCTAGGCTAACTTGTGAGTATCTATACCACAGGGTCTGGAGGGTGGGATTTTTAATATGTTATTTTTGACACCTAACTGAACATATTCCAGCATTTTTTTCTTTTCCACCTCAAAATGTCCAGTTTGCCAATTTTACAGTCTCTATCGCCTAGACTATAAGTTTTCACCGCATCTAATTCTGACTAACCCATCCATCCCAGCGATTGACTTTCAGCCTTACCCTGCACATTCCGCACCTCATTTTTCCACTGCCACTCGTCCACAAATCTTTGATTGACCTCCAAGTTAGAAAACTGATATTCCCTACAAGCGCTGATTGTTCTCAACCCTTATATCTATCATTAAGTTTACGATTATTCTCATCTTATTTCCTATTACTTTCGTTAAGCTACATTATCATTTTCTGACTCGCATTACTTCATCTTTAACAATAGCACCGCTCTCTTCAGTTGACAAGTTTACAATACCATTCTTCTCTGTTCAACCCTCCATTCTTACACAAAAATAATTGCAATTCAAACAAACCACACAAAACAACACCTAAATTAACCCTAATAATTTGTCCCCTTTTTTTTATTACGTTAAGCTCTCAAATAAATTCCCCTTTAAAGGTATCTAACGCGCACTGCCGCGAAGAAATTTGTTGTGGTTAGCACAGATACCACCCTCACACCTGCCAATGCGCGGTCTCCCAAAAGCTTTTCAGCCCTTTCTTTTATGAATATGCGTAGGTATACCAAATTTGGTTCCAATCGGTTCAGCCGTTTTCGTTTAGCCAGAAATGAGAGTACCGACGGACCGACATCATCGAGATTTTGTTTGATTCGAATTCCTGGTGCTTCAAAACGTGTATTTCCGGCAAAAAAAGTGGGGGGGGGGTCATTTTTACCCCAATGCAATATTTTACCTACTTACTAACGTGTGGGTGGTAAAAGAGGGGATTGTCAGTTGTTATTATAGTTACAGGCGACCAGCGTTAAATTAAAGCACTAGACGCATGCGCGTTGAGCGGCAAATTTAGATCCTGATTTAAATATACCAATGACGGCGTTACCGGTAGAAATTCTAGCCAATGGTGGCCGAAAAAAAACATGTATACGACACTAATTTGCTAGTAGACGGCTGCGCAGCACGAGCCGCTTGCTTGCTTTGTTTTGTATTTAGGATATTCATGTTCGACACATAATATATGATTGATTAAAGTTCACAAAGGTGATCAAGAACGTCTCCCGAATTCTTTTTTTTTAATTCTGTGGAATACATATAACATTTTCTAGAACAATGGGAATACAAACCTATCTTCTTTATTCAAAGATACAAACTATCCGACCCACAGCCTACGCTTTTGCGTACCAATTAGAACAGGATGTAAGTGAAAGCTGATTCAAGATAGAGCGTTCACGAATTGCATAAATAAATAATAGACTTAAAATGTTATTGGGTCGTCTTTAACATAAATAAATCCATTTATTGCTTGCTTTAAAATTAAAATTTCAATATTAATAGAAGTTAAGAAACATTAAGCAAGAACACAACTTTCATGTTACATTATTTATTAAAGTACATTAGTCGAACTTCTTCAGCTATATAAAAATAGGAAATTAAATCTTAACAAAGAAGACAGCTTAATACTGAAGGCTACGCTTCGTTTGAATGTCATCCAAAACCGCCTGCAAATCTTCATCTTCGAAGCGTCCCTCGAGCGATGGAATTAGAGACTTTGCCTCCTCGGTGGTTTCCGGGCATAAATTCGCCAGAGCTGCCAACTCGAATTTGTGAAGCTTCTTTTGCATGAGTAGGCTAAACGGAAATTAAGTAACAGACTAAACTATACGGTTTGCACTCACTTTCTAACTGCAGAAATGGTTTCCTTGTTCTTAAATTTCCGGAAGCGATCCGTGTAGGTTAACGTTTTCATGAAAACGTCGGAGAACTCTTGCTCGTCTTCCGCCGACTCGTTTTGGGCTTTCCTGTGCTCCAGTAACATGTGCACTTCGGAAATGAGGAGCGTTTCTGCGTTTTCGAATTCTGTAACAAAACGATTTTCAGATGAGTAGTACTCACTAGACGTCAACTAGATCCAAGCTGGCCAAGTTGAACAAAAGGAAAGTATATATTTTCAAATTATACACTGTGCCTAAGATAAAGGATGTCTACCATGGGGATTTCTGAAACCATAGAATGGTCAACGTAGTAACAAGATGCGCAATTGAAAAGTTATTATCATGCTTTAAAGAAAACCAGAAAATTCCAATTATTTCCGAAGATATGCCAGAAAAACCGAAATTTGCCGATTTCGTTTTTATTTTTTTCTGATGTTATTTGAACAGATACAAAAAAAAATAAAAAAACACTTTCGCATTGCCACTTTTTGAGCTCTACAAGACACCGTTGAGAGATTTTCAATACAGCATTTCGTTTCAAAGAAATCATCATCAACTTTATTTTTTTTGTATGGTCCGTAAAAAGTACAAACTGGATTGAATAGCATTTTTTATTACGAATACAACGATGTACGACACACAAAAAAAAGTTGGAAACTCAGTTTCAACAAGATGGTGCACCTGCGTACAACGCCCTAATCGTGTGAGAATACCTATGTGACTGTGACATATTTTACATTTTCCAGGAAATTTACCCAATAGGTATTTTCGTACAATCATTTAGAGGTACCATCTGGAAGAGAAAATCAAAAAACCTATCTGCAAGTCGCAAATTTTGAGCGACTATTTGAGTCTAGGTCCCAAACGCCATCTTGAATTAATTGTTATACCCTGTATATTTGGATTTTAGAAAAACCGTTACAAAAAAAAATGATCACCTCTGGACCACCGAATTTTTTAAGTGTATAGTTGGTTCGTTTCCTGCATAATGAGTCCACAAATTAAAGAACCCATGGATTTTTTTCGTTTTTATCATGTTTTAACTTCCAAGTATCTTTAAATAAGAAATTATTAACAGCCTGCTTCTAATTGTAGTTTCGGTATCTGAATTAATCTCAAATCTGTCACTGCGTTGTGGCATTGAATAATAAATCTGATCAGATTTATTATTCAATGGTTGTGGTCAATATTAAAAACATAACGTTTGGTAATTTAGTCATTGCAATGGGACTATTTTTAAATTTCGCGGTTTTTATAATTGTGTAGGTGTTAACCGGGTTTCTTCTTACATTGGCCAAAATTTAGTGGGAGTGGTTTAACTGCAAGTGTTGGACTGTTGGGTGAATAAATAATAATAATTGATCTACCAAACTTATATCTGGTTGATAGTTAAAGTAATTGTGAAAAGGTGAATCGATATGATACAAAAGAATTCATAATGTAAACCGTTTATTACAATAAATATAAGTAGGTATAATAAATAAAAATATAATTCACATAAATAAATAAAATACTCTATAAACAAAAATTGAAAAAACCCTACTTATTGATGTAGCCTTCTGTAACTAAAAAATCATATAATCTTCTGGTTTTATTCACATCAATTTTTAACAACCTCCGTGCTGCTTGCAGCTTCAAATGTCCCCCCTTTCTACTTTCGTTTACCAAAATATCACGAAATTCTATATAAGACATAGGAACTAACCTAACGTTTCGACACAGTTCTTTCTCTTTGGACGTTAATTTCTCATACCCCGGCAAACCCAAAACATCTAAAGGGCTGAAAACGCCCCTTCTCTTTAAATTAATTGGTAAAGTTGACGCAGCCACCGAGTGCTTGACCTTCCAGTTGAGCTGTATGTTATTCTTAAACATTTTGAGATCGCTAAAGGACTCTTCGTAACGTTGCCTCAGGTGGAGGTAGAGGTGAGCGCTTGGAATTGATGTAATTCCTTTTTTGTGAAACTCGCACAACCTGCAACATTTCTGCCTGATTAGGGCTGCTTGCGCTCGACTAGGGCTACCTGAAAATCTCGTTTTTAAGCACGGCGGCGTGATGTAAACCCTCCATTAGGTACTCAAAGTGCATACCAGAAAAAAATTGCATAAACCGGCACATTTTTCCATAGACCCTACGTGTTATGGTCGCATCATACCGATGTAACCATCCGATTGTTTTCCTAATCAGGATCAATCCGTGATTTCTGATAATTGCCTTTCGTCGCTGCCTCTCCAGTAAGCGACGATTGTAGCTAGAAATTATGGCACACTGTAGATCGGTCATTAATTCGTAGTCGGGGTCGCTACGGTCGATGTTCTTAAAGTTAAGGCTAGCAATTAAGTCCTCTGCGTTCGAATCGTACTCAAGCTCGAAGTCTGAACGAGCCGCATTGTAGCCGGCCATCGTGTGATAGCCGACTGAATTGGGATTGTGGCGGGGTGGGTCATCGATATCGTTCAGATGAAAGCGATATGGCATTATTTCGTGTTTACTTGACAGTGGTACTGGTATAAAACTCGGTAGTAGATTAGATGCCTTCTTGTTAAGGTAAAATTCGTCGTAATGCTCTTTAATCTCCTTGAAGCTACGATTTGGTAACTGTCGATGGACGAGGCTGAAGTTTCCGTAATCCAACAGAGTATCTAGCAGGATAAGTTCTTCTCGAGCTGTCCAATTTGATTTCTCGAACAGTACAAAATTATCATCAAAAATGGAGTATTCGTGGTTATTCTTGTGGTTTAAGAACTCCCTGCCGTTGGCGAAACACATACAGCAAATGTTAACTTCACAAACAACACAAACAATGTAAGGTGCTGATAACTCGGTATTACAACACAAACACGAAGTATTAACGGGCGCTAAGCGAGTGCATTCCTCGTTTTTAACGTCAAAATTTGATCCATGTACTATAAGCATAACTAAAGTGATAGCGCTTAACCTCAAAAATTATTCTACTTTACCTTTTGGAAATTGCAGATCGGCGGCGTCCTCCTCTGTTAAATCGGTATTCGTTGTGGCCATCATTTTAATTGTGTACTTAAATTGTATCTTAAATTAATTCAAAAACGGTATTAAACTACAGATTTTGTAATATTATGATCAACAGCCACAGTTACCAGTGTTGCCACCAAAGCCAATGAAATGTTTTGTCATTTTGTGCAGTGCAGCCAATACACTGATGAAAATAGTGAGAGATATTGAATGCACAGGGTGTCCCAAAGTAAGACATCTTTCATTTACCGCATGTTATCAAAACTTATATTTCGTTTATTTGACAACGAAGACATTGTTTGGATATCATCTCATGTAATAATTTGATTAGTTCACGATATCTAGGCTGTTGAATAATGCTCGTCGCTTAAAAAGCCACCAATAGAAGCAGTAAATAAAGCGTAGTATCTAAGTTAAAGATTTAGGGGGTGACGGGCGGTTACTTAACATGTCACGTGGAGGCAGCCTACACAGATAATCGCGTGTGATCTTAGAAACCAGCTGATCAAACCACCCCAGGACGTGTATACTGTTATATATGAAAACGGCAATCCCAGGATGTTCGGTAACTGGGGATGGCTGAACGCTGGTCGTTCCCCAATACGGTTACCTAAGATTTAAATACTTCAGCGACTCTATTAAGCTGTGACTAGGCAACACGCCGTTTACTAAACAAAAAACTCAAATGCCCAACGTTTCTGGCTCGAAGGATGCGTAGCAATGCCGTGTGGTTGTCTGGTACTCCCTATGAGGTACCTCCCGACCCTGGTACCTATCGCAACGGTGGCTGGAGTGCAGCCCACTCACAAAATAATTGAAACTCGTTTTCTATTAAATCCATTTGAAGTAGTAGGTGAATTAACAAAGGTTTTCCACTTTCAAAAAATATATTAAAAGAAACACTTTCGGAGATCTGGAGTTAATAAGATTTTTTAGAAAATGAAGATCTTAATAAAATATTCCAAAAATCTGCAAAATCAATTAAAAAATTTAAAACCATAAGATATGCAAATGATAAAACTGCAATAGTCTGTGGAAATGAAAGCTTTAGAGAGCACCCTGTACAACAGAACATTTATCGTTTTCTCCATTCCATTAACAGCGCGAGATTTGAAATAGTCACCTCCTGTTCAGGAAGATAAATAGATTATTACAGGGATACCTAGGTTTTTAAAATTAAAGAATTTAACTGCTAACTTTTATTAATACACTACAAAGGCATATTTCAGAACACAATACTGTACTTTTCAATACCTAATTTCAGCTGCATTTCCAATTTTCCACACAAGTTTTCGGATCAATTTTAATTATCGTAAATACGAAATATTTTATATAAAGGTAGTACCAAAAGAGATTCAAAAATTGCAGCATTTAGTTGGGAGAAATAATGCATCTACATTATATCACAAAACTAAGGAATTTTAAATGCATAATATACACCCTTAAGCTACATTTGTTAAGGTTTCATTGATGGCCTGTGCAACATATTCCACATTGCTAGGCGTAACTCCGCACATACTGATACGGCCAGACTTGAGCATGTAAATGTGATGCTTTTTTACCATGTGGTTCGATTGTTGTTCTGAAATAAGGTAAAATAAGCACAAGGTTTCCAAAAACTGTATTACCATTTAATCCTGTATAAGAAAACATTCCAATTTGTGTTGTAATGTGACTCCAATCTCCGGGTGTGTTAATTTTTTCTAAAGCAGTTCTTAGAGCCTTTCTCATGTCTATAATACGAGAAGACATTGTACAAATATGATCTTTCCTACAAAATAAACAGGTATTGCTGTGTTCTTGATCAAGTAACAGCACAAGTAGAGGTAATTGAATGACAGTACGGAAAGCTCTACTTGTGCTGTTAACAGTATTGTGACTTGTACCATTGCTCAAACAACTTGGGATCGTTTAAAACATATGCAACTATGCTGGCACCATGAAGTGGTGGATTTGAGTACATTCCACGAACAAGTAGGGTGAATTGAGACTTCACAGCCACCTGACAAGATAGATCGTTTAGTACAACTGTAAGGTTGCCAACTCGTTCATCTGAGAAAAACAGATTTAAGTGCATAGCAACTTGTGTAGGCATACATACTGTAAAGACCGAAATTTTTCGCAAAAGACTGGGCACAGAATAATTCAAATCCTCTAGAAATGAAATAACGAACTGCCCAAGAATCTTTTTCTAAATCACCAGATGCGAAACCTTGATATGCTGAATCGAAAAATGGAAACAAGTGCTTCTCCTCTATGACATCGGCAATTTGCTTCCATTGGTCTTGGGTTGGATCACACCCTGTAGGATTATGGGCACACGCATGAAGAATGATGACAGAGTTCTGGGGTGCATCTCTAAGATCCTGTAGGAAGCCCTCAATGTCCAATCCACGAGTTTTACCACACCAATAACGATATTGTCGCGCTTCTTTAAATCCGGCATTAGTAAATACCAAATTGTGATTTTCTGCAACATTTCACATTTATCACACTGGCAGCGAAGAAGAAAATTACCCCATGATGGTGAGGAATAGTAGAATATTTCGTGTCCAAGTTGTCTTGCCAAGAATTCTGCACCAACACGAAGTGCACCAGTTCCTGATAAACATTGTACACCGAAAGCCTATAAAATTACAACGAAATAAGATGGAGTTTGTCCAACTTCACGTTACCCTTTTCTCCAATACTGCAGGACTGTCGTGGCCTAACAGCATTGAAGTGGCCGCATTGGAGAACAATTCCATTCCGAGTACGGGCAGGTATTCCTTGTTTCGAGTTTCATCGGCAGCCAATATCTTCTCTACATCACGAACTACCGGCAATACCCATGGCTTTCCTTGATCAGTCCGGTATGCTAACAACCGACAGGTCTTTATTCGATGCATTGAAATAATTCGATGCACTTACCTCCAACCCCCAAGTTGACTTTCTGTGCGAATGAGTCCTCCGTAAACGCCCTGGTCAAGGCGAAAACTTCGATAGGAGGCCCCAAATCCACATTCGTAAATCTGGACATTGTAAAGATTAATTTTAAATTCCCAAAATTCGATCGCGAAGTGAATTACGTTAACCTTTGAAAAAATCCCCACTAATAGGATCCGATTGATCCGATCAAAATTGTGGTGTGTATTATGCCATCTCTCTCAGTTTTAGAGGTACAAAAAGAGTCAGATTATAAAGCAATCATGACGTATTCTATGGTTAAAGGTCATTTCTATTACATACAAGTGCTATCGTTCGTTTGGCATGTGGACAAAAAAATGATTCATTAAATTATTACCATAATAATAATAGAAGTGCCAAATACTCTTTTTACGTAACTGTTGCTTACGTAAACAAATAAAGTGTGAATTACTTAATATCTATAGGGTGTTTGGTCAGTTTGATAAATTATTACACAGAGTGATTTGATTATGTTTCATACTGTTATACTTGTTAACTTAAAATGGCAATGCTTTAAACTTTCTTTTATTACTAGATGACGGCATTTTCGCATTAAACGCCGATATTTATTGATCTATTATTATAATTTATAACATCTGTAATAGGCTGACGGAGTGACTAACTGATGACTATATATACTTTGAACTTCAAGTTGTACCAAACAAGTCGAGATTAAGAATTTCGAGCAGAGGGCGAATCTACGTCCACGTCACATAGGCCTACATTTTGAGCTGCTGCTGAGGTCAGGAAGCACCGGCGCGAGGGTAAACCTTGGGTCAAACGGGCCCTGCACCAAAGCCAGAGAGCCTGAGGCTGTGTTTAGGTATCGTTGGCTCTGGGGGCAACCCGACGTCAGAAACCAAACGTTTCAGATCGGAGGGGAAGCACTCCTGGGTCTGTCTCAGGCCAAGCCCGAGAAGAAGCCCAGAAGTTCTAGAGCACCTAAAGTTTGCCGGTGCATTACCAACCTTATATGGGTCAAGTCGCCGCGGCAGGGCTATTGTTCCGGTGTTGCACCCGGGGGTGAATATCACCAAAGAGTATTTAAATGTGCCGAGAATTTTTGGGCAAGACCTTGAATGTTCCTCTTGGATGAATATAGATAATAGAAGGATATAGCTCCCAGGGTAACACCACGCAGGTTAATTTCGCATCGACTGGGTTATTAAATAACAGCCCACCTTCTGCTAGTCAGTCTGGGACCGTTATGGTCTTCAGAAAGCTCACCCTATTTGAAGGTCTGGTTCGACGACACAACCAATTGACAAAAATGAGTTAGTCTTGATCTCGTCTAGGTAAAATTCTGAGAAAAGCAATGTATCGTGTAACAGCACCCATTCATTCACCATTAGGGGTCACCTAGCATGGCCCAAAAATGATAGAGTTTTGTTCTCACCCTGTATAAGACACAAAAATTGTAAGTGTACCATTTTTTATACTAGGCGATTAATCATACTGGTCAAATCAAATACTATACTTTAGGTTAGAATAGAAAAATGTAAATGGATTAATGTTGATTTACGATATTAATTTATCTATAACGATTATGTATTCCTGAGATAAGCCATTTGTTTGTTAAACATGATTCCTGCCACGACTAGACCTGCCAAGGTAAATGAATTTGGTCGATTTAGATTTGACTTCCTCTTTGTAGGTCGACCCGAATACCACAAACCAATCTTTTACAAGACAGGGGTCTTTACGGCGTGTCATTCCGTCGGAGCACAATAAAGATAACATATTCGGACGACAAAATGAAGACATCAATATGTTTTATAAAACCGTTCATCAAGAGTACATAATTTTGGCCGAATAGTAAGTAGACTGCTTTCATTGGTTACTTGAATTGATACGTGTAATTTAAGTAAAATGGTAGTTAGTGAGAATATAAAAAGTATATACGTTATTCCGTCCAAAGAGAATTCATTTGGTAAGTTGTGTATCGTATTGTGCATTTGAGCTTATGACCTCTGTAAGTAGTTTGGTTCGGTGTGATTTTTGTACGAAGTGGCCTTTACGAAGATGGGATTTTTAGATTTACGATTTCTCTGCCTGATAGCTTTCCGGATGGCGAACACCCTGTAATTATTTACTCTTTTCTTCAAATATTTACATTCTTTGAGTTCTAGAAAGTTGTTTTCCAATCAGAAATTTTTCATCCAGTAATACATGCGGATAATAATCAGCTTGATCTAAGTAGCGGGTTTCCTACATGGACCAGAGGGGAGCAACATATTTGGCAAGTCATAAAGTATGTTCATTGGATTTTCTACAATGTTGAGAACTCGATTGAGCATGCCGTTAATCGTGAAGCTGCTAATTTGTAAGTGAAGTGTAGCTATATTGAGCATTTTGTTCTAAACCAGGCGAGGCAGAAACCATTCACAATTCTATTCATGTATTGCACATTACATGATTTTTCTTTAATAGTGTAGCAATTTTACTAGAACATTCTCGAGGTGCCATCAAGTTGATAAAGGATTAGTCAACGACGATGGGGAATGAAAGCAAATGTAACTCAACTTTTCCCTGAAGTATATCCCTTCTAGATTTTTCGAGGTTTATTGAATTGTGTTTAGTCTTAGTCTCAATATCGATGTCAAAGTGATAAATAATGAAATTCGCCCTCACGTTATAAATTTCCAGATTGTCAAGGTATTAGAAAAGAAATGTAATTAATTCTAAACATGTTGGTTTCTCCTCGTGGTCAATACTATGATCATGTTTCAATAAAATTTATTTGTAGATACACAGAAAATTTAGACACCTTCAAGGAAAGAGTGAAAGAATGTGTAAAAAAAAGTCAAGAGCAGTTATATACGCCCCCTCCAACGAACGATAAGCACTACATCACCTTTGAGAAATACACACCAAAGGTGCACGATGAAGTTAAAGTACTAATGCTGGATGAAGCAAATGAGAGCAGACTTCCTACTGTCGGTCATTCGTGGGTTTCACCGGGAAGTTTTAAACCCTTGAGCCGAGCGCCCACTCCTGGACCGGACAGTATTTCTTAGTGCCTTTTGTACAAATACATTAATAGTGCAATACCTACATGACACATAGTTTTAGTTTACTAACACTTTAATTTAAGGTGCTCATAATATCGAACAAATGCAATAAATTTATTTGAACAATTATGCCAGTTAAAACATATCAAATGTGATTTATACATGACATTTTTTTAAATAAATATCCTTTGTTAAAGCTTTATTAAACCATTCTTGATCTAACTCGTACACAGTATCCTTCCAATTGAAATGTGTGGGTGGTTTTCCCTCTCCATTTTCAAAAACGAAGTGCTTACTAAATTCTATTGCAAGCTTCGATCTAACCAACCCAATGGAACCTGTTTTTTCAGGGGCAGGATGGTAGACTCTTCCACTTGTCGGAAGCATATACACTTTCTCAGGTTGAAACTGTAACGTTAATAAGTCGCCTGCGTGATTAAATGCTAATTTGTCTTCGAGTACGTGGGTAAAAACAATTGGGTAATCATCGCATCGTACATAATTTCTTTCCTTACCGCACAGCGATATATACGGAAATTCCGTATAGCGACCTGTATGATTTATTTTCAATTGGTTGAAGAAGAAGCGTAAAAACTTCTTTTCTTTGAAGCATGATGTAAAATTTTTCATCTTTGAGTCGTCTAAAAATAACTAATTAATCTGTACAGTGATATGGTTAGTGTAATGAGAGCCGTACCATTCCTTGATGATCGATGTAATAAAAATATTCCCTTATCTTAGGTTCTGGTTCTTGCCCTTGTGTGTAGGTAAGATTACGAAGGTAATGTGAAAAACCATTACTTCTTAATATTCTTCTGCATAATGTTTGCATGTTCATCACAAAAACTATATGTTTTGCTAAAGAAATGTAATTAAAACAACAAAACAGAATCAGCTGATTGACATAGAATAGAAAAGGTTGTACAGTTGCCATAAACCATTCATGCTGTATGTAACATACAGGCTATTCTATTAACCTCTGCTTAAGGCCCCTCTAAAGTGAATTAATTTCTCTACACGGAGTATGTAAAGTTGCCTAACATCTTTCGAAATATAGCAAGTTGAAGTAGAAAGAGAAGAATGACCTTGTCTCACATGCCAACGCTTGACCAATCGATTTGTGGGAGTTCAGTTCAATATGAGCCGGATTAAAAGTCGGGTAGGATGTAATTTTATGATGACTAATGAAACATGGAAACGATGATTTCTAACTGTAAATGCAATAAATTCTTAGCTAAAATCTCAAAAAAGTATTCATTCTGAAATAATCGCAGCAATAAATACCCAATATCACAGAAATATAAGCGCACCTAGATTAGGGTCGGTCGGTTTATTAGATACATTTTATAGAGGGTGTTCCTAAATATGATGTAAATACGGAACTAGCTAATTCTTTGGCTTATTTTATGACCTTTGCTCAAAGTTCATATAAACATAGGTCCACAAACACTTCGTTACCGATTTACAGGGTGTTCAAATTTCAAGATTTTTTAGGTTTTTTCTTTATATCTCCTGCAGTTTTTGAGATATTTCGTTCAAGTTTGAAATGTAAGTTACGCTGAAGGGTTTACATAATTGGTCATTTCAATAGTAGTGAAAATCTACAGGGTGTTGTGTTTTCAAGGGGAATATGTTTCATATTTTTACTTCTGAACTTTTTTGGATACCATAATTATTACCGTTGATGGTCTGTGATTATTACTACCAACATTCTATTATTTACACTAAGGTAGTACAAATCGAAAGGTATAATAATCCGCATTTTTTTCTGCGAAAAGATACGTTAATTTTTTGTAGAGATGACGTTTTTTGGACTACTAAAATAGCGAGTATTACAATTCGTTGATTCCCGAATTGGTAGATCCACGAAGAAGCAGAGGACAAGATCTTCGAAGAATGATATGGCCTGACGGTGTAGGTGCGACACTATGCCTTAATTTTGTAATAAGGTTTTGTTTTTTAATTGCATTTATAAGATATTAACATTTTTTTGTCTATTTTCTAAAATAACATTTACCTAATGCCTATGAGTTCATTCGCTGTAGTTGATAAACATATTCATTTATGTTTTACATTCATTAAAAATTCATCGCAATAAATTCATCCCTATTTATTATGATCATAATTGATCAAATTAACTTATTTATTTATTTATTTATGTTCCTAAAATCAATTTTATTTTCAAAAAATGTATAAAAAGTGTTCAAAGTGAATCCTCGATTAATTAATCGAGCTACGAAAGTGATTAAATCAAAAACATTTCTTCAAAATGGTCCCGCAAATATACAGGGTGGTGACTTGCGTAACGCATCATAGGGATTTCAATGTAAAATTCATAACATGCGATTATTGGCTCCCCAAACTATTTTAGAACAAAAATGTATTAAGGGTTTTTGTAGAAAAAAAATTTTTACGCCATTCAACCGTAGTAGTTTTCATTTTTTTGCATAATAAAGGCGGAAAAATGGAAAAATAAAACCCCCATCTTTTTTAAAAATCTGTGATGCCATGGAATTTTCTAATACAAAAACTACGCCAATATCCGTCATGCCATGGAATTTCTGCTATAAAACAAATCAAATTCTATCAAAAAGTATTACGTTTAGAATGGCGAATTCAACATAAAGAAAGGCCAAATTACTCAAAGCGGTTTCCTAATGTAACAATTTACAATAAATGTTCGAATAAGTCACCATTAACTGCAAGACAGTAACCAAGTCGATCATAAAATCCATTTCGAACTGCTGCTAATTGGTAACTGGATATCTTTTTGTTTTAGAAAATTCCATGGCATCGCAGATTATTGAAAAAGATGCGGGTTTTATTTTTCCAATTTTCCGTCTTTATATGAAAAAAATTGAAAACTAATACGGTTGATTGAGGTAAAAAAAATTTTTCTACATAAAACTTTAATAAATTTTTGCTCTAAAATAATTTGGGGAGCCAATAATCGCATGTTATGAATTTTACATTGAAATCCCTATGATGCGTTACGCAAGTCACCACCCTGTATACTTAGTAGCATTGACTAATAACCTCCCAATGTTAGTAGGCTTAAAAAACAGCGGAAAATATAACAAGTTATAGGCATCCCCAATGAAAGTATAATCCGTGGACTAAATGAACATGTTTTGTCATTCGTTTAAGGGTCTAAAGTGTCACTTTTTCTCCCAAAAGGATTAAAATGTAATGAGGGACGAAAAGTGACAGTACACAACATCTTTTTGAATTTGGGAGGCAGTAATTTACTCATAACGTTCAGTTTATATGAACCTGGCAGAACATGTCATAATTTAAAAAAAGGAGCATTTAATTCGGGAATAGGACACTTAATTAGCACCTAATTATATTTATTCACTTTTCATTTTCTTGAGTTTTTAAGGTAGGGCTCTGCTGAGTTCATATGAACCTGGCATAACATGTAATAATTTAAAAAAAAGGAGCATTTAATTCGGGGATAGGGCACTTAATTAGCACCTAATTAACATCTAAGTATAGTTAGTTCACTTTTCATTTTTTGGTTTTTTGAGGTAGTGCTCTGCTGGGTTCATATGAACCTGGCAGAACATGTAATAATTTAAAAAAAAGGAGCATTTAATTCGGGAATATGGCACTTAATTAGCACCTAATTATGCAATATGTTTGATTGTGTTCTGCTGACCTTGCTCTGCTAAGTTAATGGACATAAATTATCACTGGACCAACGTCTAGCAAAAAATTAGACAATTCTAGAAAATCTTACTTGGCTAGTTATCTTCAGTGCATAATTCTTTTGGCACTCATGCCGATGGCGTAAACTTTTGTGTAACCCCTCGCGGCCCCAAGCTGCATACGTATGAATTATTGAACCATTTACGTATATTGCGAACATAAATTTAATAACATATTTGCATGTGTAGGTAAGTGGCAGTCAATATGGAGTCATTTGCAATACTGACTGAAATATCATCCATTTTTACGATTTATTGACAGCCAATAAACAAATGTAAAATAAATAAATAAATCTAATGTCTCTGGTTGCTGGAGTGTTACCGTCCGTTTAAGTGGGCAACTTACATTGAGCAAGGTTCATTACAATCATCTTCAATGATACGAATTCAAGTGCGGTTATCAATTATTGACCGATAGCAATTTCATAACTCTTAAACAAGTCACTACGTCAAATTGTTCGACGTGTATCACAAATTTAAGCAATTCCTTACGTTACCCAACTCTCAGTACATTCCATGATGTCGCGATTTTCAGACGTTGCCTTGGGACCCCCAATTGAAGTCTTCGCCCTAACGAAAGCTTTCGTAGAAGATACATTCCCGCAGAAAATCAACTTGGGTGTTGGAGGTACGAGACAGAAGTCAATTATTCATTTGAAATTATTCGAATTTTTCAGCTTATCGCACCGATGAAGGGAAGCCGTGGGTGCTGCCAGTAGTTCGCGAGGTTGAGAAGTTATTGGCAACGGATGAAACGCGCAACAAGGAATATTTGCCAATCTTAGGTTTGGAGGCATTTACAAATGCCGCTACTTCCATGCTCTTAGGTCATAACAGCCCAGCACTATTGGAAAAGAGAGTAATACCAAGTTTCAATTATGTTGCATCTAATTGTTATTCTTTAGGCCTTTGGCATACAGTGCTTATCTGGTACTGGGGCGCTTCGTGTTGGAGCAGAATTCTTAGCCAGTCAACTTGGAAGTAAAATCTTTTACTTTTCAGCACCATCATGGGGTACGTCTTAATCTTTAATTCGCTGAACAAAAATTATATTTAACTATTTCAGAAAATCACAATTTGGTATTTACAAACGCCGGATTTAAAGAAGGTAGACAATACCGATATTGGTGTGCCAAAACACGTGGATTAGACATAGATGGTCTTCTGCAAGATCTCAGTGAGGCGCCTGAAAATTCGGTCATTATTCTCCACACATGCGCTCATAACCCGACGGGTTGTGACCCAACACAGGAACAATGGAAACAAATCGCCGATGTAATGGAGAAGAAACGCTTATTTCCATTCCTCGACTGCGCATATCAGGGTTTTGCATCCGGCGACTTAGAGAAGGATTCTTGGGCGGTGCGCTATTTCGTTTCGAGAGGATTTGAATTGTTCTGCGCGCAGTCTTTTGCAAAAAATTTTGGATTGTACAGTACGTGCTCAATTGTTACACTTACAGTAATGCTTAACGCAATTTTTTTGTCTTTCAGATGAGCGCGTGGGTAACCTTACGGTAGTACTCAATAATCTCTCCAATCAGCAAGCAGTCAAATCGCAATTCACACTTCTTGTCCGAGGGATGTACTCAAATCCACCCTTACATGGTGCCAGCATCGTGTCACGCGTTTTGAGTGACCCAAAATTGTTTGAACAATGGTAACGTATAAAAGCGGCGTGAAACCGCCCTATAAAAATATCTATGTAGGAAATCCCATATCCGCACAATGTCTTCTCGGATTATCAGCATGAGGAAGGCTCTAAGAGAAGCTTTAGAAAAAAATAATACCCCTGGAAATTGGAGTCACATTACATCTCAAATAGGAATGTTCTCTTACACTGGACTAAATGGTAGGTACAACCGACTGTAAAATTCAGCTAATTGACAACTATATCTTTTCAGAGCAACAGTCTGTGCATATGGTTAAAAAGCACCATATTTACATGCTTAAATCGGGCCGTATCAATATGTCTGGAATGAAATCTACCGACATAGAATACATTGCACAAGCTATTAAAGAAACCTTAACCAATGTGCATTAGTGACGTGGCCATTCAGTGATTTACATTGGATTTGCTATAGGTACCATGCAGACTATGAAGATCTAATCTAATAGTAACTAAAAAATAAATAGATTTTGTAACATTGGAAACTAAGTGCAGTAAATTATTATCTTCCCGGTACCGTTTTCATAAGTACGACTTGCACTGCAGAACTGTAGACTCCTTTTAAAAGCCACTGTTTTGCCGACAACCGACACCAGTTTTTGTCAAAATTAACGTGGTATTAGGAAAAAAGTGCTTGAAGATTGAAATAATTTAAAACCCTCCGTCTTCCTGCACTTCCAAAATTACTTTTTAAGCCGATTTTGCTCTTCCCGATACCATCAAAGCGGAAATCTTGGTCAGCACGTGATTCGTAGTCTCAGACTCGCCGCGATCTCAAAAGATGTTGATATGTTTGAAAATTCTAGAGTCATCACGCTAAAATTGTTGGAATTAGTTATGTAAGCGTCTTTACGCGAATGGGTGTAGGTGTATCCTCTTTAGGTAAAGTTATTTTTATAGAGTTCCTCTCTGTTGACACATTTCTTTTCAGGTTATGCCATATGTTTTAATGTAATAACTGTTTAGTTCGCATATCAACTAGTTTTATATCTAAAAGGTAATACCATACGCCTTGGGAAAGACACGGGCAATATAGAAAAATACACAGTCGAATGCGTGCGTGCTATTGCTCTAGTTAAAAATATTTCATTTTGGTGACGTTTTTTAAATATATATTAGCAGGGTGATTTATGCTATTAATTGTCAGTAGTTTATTAGTACGATTGTCAACTTGTCGCCTCATTTCCATTTTACCACTTTTCCCTACCCGTTTCGAGTTTCGAAAGAGATCCTAGCAAGGACGAAAAAGGGTAAGTTGATAATAATTTATGTTACTTTGCGTTGTTCACTTCAAATATACAGTCCATTATTTAGATTCAATAACCTATCTTTGTTTTACCTATATCGTAATCCGAAACCCATTTACGAATAGGGTATGTAAGTTTGAATTCATTGAATTTGAGTCTGATTTTGGTGTTGTAGTTTTTGGATATATATTTCTTTGTACGTTACGAGCATTGTGGTGATCATATTAAATAAGTACCGTGTTTTGAATGAGATGCAAACACTCATATTTGAATTGAAGATCGCCACGTCGATTAGCTGGAACCGATCTAATACATTGTATCTAAGATCGAAGAATCACTACGCAAATCTTCATCTCAAGTATAGGAAATTTGAAACGTGCAGGTAACCTGTAGGTAATTGCTTTTGTCGTTGTCGGTTACATTTATCTTTGCCTTTGTGGTTAGTGTTAGCGCTGCACTGAAAATTTGCATTTAGTTGAGTAACCTTGTCAAGAAATGTTTTATGCAATTAAATATCCTTTATATGTCTGTAGATTCTTTACCAGGACAAGTGTCTTTATACCCACTAGTGCCCGAGGATAAGCTTATGTTTTTATTTTATTTTTAGTTTACATTTTTATTTACTTTTTGGCGTGACTTGTGCAATGATATGAGTTTTGTCAAACCTCGGTGGTTGTTTCACTGGTAGACGCGTTTCCCCTAGCTATCCGTAGCCAATTCCTTCTTCTCGCACGGTTGAACCACAAATTAAAAATCAAAATAACAAAATATCGTTTTATAATTAAACAATTTGTATTAAACACAAATTCGGTCATATTTGAATTTGAAATCAATGTTGATTGGATTTTGGAATTATTAGATTACAAGGTAAACTGGCAGAATGGGCACGCTATTGCAATCAAAGTTATGCTGGAAGGCCCTCTTTTCTCTTTTTAATTTTGCGGTTGCCCAGTAGTAAAGCGAAACGGAACCAACGCAAATGCCACAGCGCCGTGCCCTGTATTTTTTTAAATAATCCTCTTGTATTTTGATTAATTTATTGTTCAGTTAGTTTACGTTAAGAAAGGTTAGGGACATCTGCGACACTTGAAAATTGAGTGTTTTTTTTAAGTTTATCTCCTTTAAGTCTGGTCTTCCGATAAGGAGTTTGTTATTGCTCCATAAAAGCTAGCTAATTTGAGGGTAAACAGGTTCGCCGCAGTTCATGAGGCGCAGACGTATAGGTATTCAAGTTAAACGAGAGTTTATGGCCGGATTAACATCTTTTAAATTTAATTTGTTTCAATCGATCGCATGTGCGTGGTATTTTATTTATTATTTATTTATTTATTTATTTATTTATTTATTTATTTATTTATTTATTTATTTATTTATTTATTTATTTATTTATTTATTTATTTATTTATTTATTATTTATTTATTTATTTATTTATTTATTTATTTATTTATTTATTTATTTATTTATTTATTTATTTATTTATTTATTTATTTATTTATTTATTTATGTATTAAAATAAACAGGCCTGGCCCTAGTTACATTTTTACCTTACGAATTAGGAAAACTGCAGGAAAACCTAATTCGGAGTAGCCGGCAGAATGCTCGAAACTGGTCCAGTACCTACCAATGATGATTAAAAACTCGAACTTGTAATTAAACGTGAATGTGAAACTGGATTTGGACTAATGGTAAATACAGTTGGATATGGCGAAGTCTCTTGATTAAATATGGTATCAACACAAATTTTATACCAAATTTTACAGTCAAAAAGCAAAAAGTTCATTTTTCTACCTTAATATATATAAAGGGAACACTTTCCAACAAAACTTTGGATTATTTGTTCATTCATTGGTCAGCCTACCGTAATGTCTTATAGTATTATTACCAAATGTTTGATTATTTACAACTTGTAAAAATGGGAAATTTTCAAGTTGTTACAACTATCAATACTCCAGAAGAGATATTTCTTATTGTATGTTACTGGCTAAACAGTTACGAACCTAAACGTTGGAGTTATTTTATTACAATCTCTATATAACAATTAAAACTGTAACCGGCTCCACCATGGTTCAATCTTCTTCCTCCCACAAAGGTATTAGATGATTCTAGTTCTCCGGCAACAATTCGTCGACTGGGAAAAGTCGGAAAACAGAGTTGAAATACATAAAAAGCAATTCGCCAAAAACCTGACCAATAATACCCCGAAGTTCATCAATCACAATGTTGATGTTTTGGTTTATGGCAGTGTTTGCGGCCTCCGTCATTTCATCATTGCCCTTTATTAGATTTGTAAAATTTATTTTAGCAGTCTTTACGTCTACGTTAAATTGGACATTTTCGAATTCTACGTGCTCTTTGGATTCCTTCATGTAAGATCTCAGATGGCTGTATCCGCTTGCGGTAACATTTGCTAAAAACCGTCAGTGTTAATATATACCCTCCAAAATTTAAAGATACTCACTAGCCTCCAGCGCATACGTTCCCTCGGTATCAATTTCAAAAAGAAGAACCTTCCCTTTAAATGTGTACTGTCCTTTTAATCTCAAGCTAGGAAATAATACCGCAATTGAAAAAGAAGAGTGTTTCAAATCCAGCGAAATGTCGTTTAAGATAAAATCCATAATCCCAGATACTGTATGGTTCCACGATTTTGCCTTCACAGAAACGGCGCTGTTTGCGCCGGTGTCAGCCGACACCGAGGGAAATTGTAGTGGTTCGCCAGGTGGTAAATCCATTTCCGGTATCCCTTTCACCAAATATGGACGAAGTGCGTTAATCGAGTCCTTTAAACACATTGAAAGGTTCGGATCGTTTATTTTACACAAAGAGACATAAGACGCTAAAATAAATAATCAGATAATCGCCCAACTAATGCCAGCCCTTACGGATTTGCTTCGAAGTTACATTGAAAAATAACACGCAGAAAATGTTTAGTACGAAAAGTTTACCCATATTGCTTTGTCGACTGAAACTAGTACGTTAATCTCTTACTCGGGTACGTGTACTTATTTAAATCACAGATCAAATTTGCTTTAATTGCTCAATTAATTACACGAAACAATATAACAGGTTTGTCCACGCAGAACTCTATCATCTTGTTCATTTTAATAATCTTCAATTAACCAGCACTGTTGCTACAATTATGTTTCATATAGACTGTTGAAGCAAAAGCCTTGCGGAGAGCAACGAGAAAACCGAGGAGAATAGAGAATAGAAAATTGAAATGCGCTAACAAGGAAAAAATCCATTGCGACGATGGTCAAATTAGGGAACACATAATATTATCATGCTTTAAAGAAAACCAAAAAAATCCGATTACTTCCGAAGATATACCAGAAAAATCAAAATTTGTCGATTTGGTTATTATTTCTTTCTGATGGTATTTGAACCGATACAAAAAGACACCGATCCAGCAAATTTGGTATCCAAGCAGGAATAGATCAGGTTAAGTAATTGAACTAAAAGTCTTGGTTTCGACAGAAATCCAATAACCTAACGATGTGTTGATTTGTTCCCATGTAAAATGTTCAAATTTTAAAGGTTTTAGCTGTTATAAAGTATTTTTTTAATTGAATTTGGAAATTGGTTACAAAATAGTATTATCACACCTAATGTGCAAATACGCAATGATATGTGCGGACTGCAGTAAGTGCTAATGAAAGTGCTGATTAAAAGTTATTATAATTAATTGATATAATTGGATATACTTTCAATTATTCTTAATCAGTCTTGTAGAAAATATAAATTTGCATAATATGGTCTGAAATGCATGCAATTGAAACAAAAAAGTTTGTGAACTAACTGATTGTACATAGTATGATTAGAAAATATTGAAATACTTGTTGTCAGTAGAAAATTGCTACAAGAAGAGCAAAATTATTTTTTTAATATTATTTATGATGCGAGATTAATAGGAGTTTATCTGAAGCTGAACAGCCTGACCGACTCTACGTGAAAAAATCGCATTAAGTGAAATAACCAAATTGGTGTGACACGGTTTAACGTAACATAACGATATAAATGCGAATGTGTGTCAATTAAATGATCAGGATTTACGCTAATGTAAAGCAGTAATATGACATTCATTAATACATAAATGCTACGAATTGTTGTTTACCACGGATTACTGCCCTTGTAGTTTTCCAATAAGGTCAGCAAGGTCTAAAACGGATCTCCCAAGCAATTCAAATAACCCTTATTCGGAGCCAGTTGAATCTTTCGATCTTCCGGTAAGCACGGGTAGTTGTGAAAATAGGGTTTGAGATGCACAAACCCAAAAGACCACTGCAAATCTAGATAACGAAGATCGGCCGGCTTGTATTCCCTACTGCAGTAGTAGCCCTCTAATAGCGTTGATTTTTGTAGGCATGAAAGTTAAATGTTGCTAGGGGTGCGCATGGTTATGGGTTTGGTAATAGAAAGTAGGAGGTTATAAGTACAAAGGAAATACAGTAAATTCAGATTTTTTCCGGTTAAAATGACCAAATGTGTTTTCGGCGGCGTAATTAAGTTATGGGACTTAAGACTATAACTGGTACTATTTTATGAGGACTGAAACGCGATCATTGTGGAAAATACAAATAGATTTCACAGAAAACATTACATAAACAAGTATAAATTGTGCACAACTCTTGTGCAGATAAAGCGCATTTTTTATAACCGAAATAGCTTTTGTTTTGACATCACAAATGGATATAAGTATTTCTTGCAGACGTCTCAATTGCACTTTGTGAGTACCTACCCTCTTCCGACAATCCGTTCTTGAGGTATAAGGGAATATACCCGATCACGATAAGAGGTCGAGGAGGAGGCAGGGCTATGATTGGTAGAAATTAATTCCTTTCGTTTAGACCTTTCATTAGAGTACCTACCATGAAGGATAAAACTAGTTCCCCCCCCCCCCCCTTGATAAGAAGACAGAAAGAAGGCCAGTAGTTGGTAGAAAACGGTTCCTTTCGTTGAGACCCTTAATTAGAATACAATGAGAGATAAAATTAATGTTTAACCCCCCCAGGCCCCGTCGCTCACTGATCTCGAAAACCATTCCCCTAGTAGTAGTTCGAAACGGCAGAAGTGGGTCCGGACGGACGGACAAAACGCAAACATAGCACATTTTCTTTACTTCTTAAAAAATGCGCTAAAAAGCAAGGGTGCACATTTAAACGCAATGTATGGCACTGTGTATCCTGCTAGGAGTGCCCTCTTACGGTACTGAAACAGTTCTTTACGCATTCTCTACCACATCAGCTCCAACCGCTGCCTCCAAAGTCAGTTTTTCACCACTCACCCCGGAAAATAATTCCACGCTCCCTTTCCCTCTGCATGCTTGACGGAAAAGCCCCGACGAAGGATCGTCCCGGAAGTTTGTCTTGCAATTCGCGCACTAACCTATTGAAAAAGGGCGTGTCATGGATCTGGTCGACGGACCAAGCCGCCGCATTCGAAAAATTGAAAACTGTCCTCACCACCGTCCCTATATTGCGACAAGCTGATCCCACAAGCCTCTTCGGAAGTCATCCAAGCAAGCTTTCCTCAACCGCAGATCCTTTGTGTCCTTCTCCGGAAACGTGGTAGCGTTCTCCACTCCTTACATCGTCTGCATCATATCCTAATTTCACAATCATAGATTTCGTCGTCGGTACCGTTACCTCCTGTGGCTAACGCCGCAAACGTCTCCTCATAAAAAACCTCTTTTACTTCGACCAAGTACAAAACCTATCAAAAAAATGGTTCCCAAACACGACTATCAACTTTTTCAGTTTTTACAATCTCCCAGACAATACTCTTCCGAATGATCTCTTTTACTATATCTCCACCCTCCGGCACGCTGTCTTGTTGGAGGATCTTAACACCTATACCACCCTGTTCGGCGCTTCTACCTGTAACCCAAAGGGCATTAACCTCGTCAACCACCTAATAACACTTTCCATCTCTCGTGTTAACAACACTACCCCAGCTTTCGTGTCGCCCCACAGTACTTTTATTGTTGACCATATCATTTTTACCGCTACATCGACGTCAACTGCTTCCTAGGCACCACAATCACCTCTGACCACCTTCCATTGCTGGTCCGTACAAACTTCACCCCGCCCCCTGTTCTTCTCCTCATTGTGATATACAAAAAAGACTTCTCCAGAGTCAAACAAGCTCAACAAGTCACAGGAAAAATATTTCGCTACACTACCACCATCTCCGATGCAGTGTCCATCGGCATCCCTCCGCAACCCCATCATCTTTATCGCCAGAAGATCCCTGATAAGATACTTGATCTCATAATGGAGAAGAGGCGAGTATTCCGCCAATTCCTACGATCCCGTGACGATAGAATTCAAATGACGCAGAAAATTCGATTGTTTGTTTGACAAATTACAAGGTGAAGAAGAGATGACGCAGGAATTCATGCTGTACTACTCACAAGTATAGTTTCAGATTCATTACTAAGATTTATGTTTGGAAATTTCATTTAATTGTGTGCCATTAAAAATGTAGGTATCTTGTGGTTAATTTTTGTAAGATAATGATGCTACTCGCATTGTTTAAATGTGGCAAGTCATTTAAAGGTATACTATAGTGCGTTCGCACCTCCATATGCAGTATGGGATGTCTTATGGGCTGAATGTCTCTCTTATTAAATATTTTTTTCTATTTCGGTGTTACAATGAGAATTTTGTGCAACTGTTTTCGGCAAAAACAGTGTTTCAATGAGTTCCATTGTAACATTGTTTTTGGTAACTTTTCATATCTAAGTTGGCAGTTCGCCAAGACGTCAACGTCAAATCATCAGATGCATGTGAAATCAAATTACGTAAAATTTATGTGTTTTCCTTGATTTTTGGTACACAAAGAACTTAATACATTCCAAATCAGCAGTTTACACATCCACCATAAATAAATTTATCTATACGAATAAAAAATTACACATTCACGGAATTTAAAGTTTCCAAATGTCAGTGTTGTGTTTATCTACGCTGCCAACTTAAAATTTGTCAACGTAAATGGTATTGCCAACTTAAGACATATTAATTCTAAAGTTTCCTGTAGTGTTTCATAATTACTTTTTAATTAAATTAAAGCCCCGAAATAGAAAAAATAGTATGAAAAACACGTGTTACAATGCTTTATTGTAATACTCATATCTTGTGGACACTCGTGGCGTCGTATTACAATAGATCGCATTGTAAAAACACTTGTCTTTCAATATACTATTTCCATAGCGCTATTCTTGTTCCGCCTCACCGCAATGATGCCAAATGGTTAATTTGAAGTATTAAAACACAACATAACATTGTTGTGCTGTCATTGTTAAGTGTGGCAAGTATGCACTGTATGTCCATAAGCACCATACTACATTTGGAGGTGCAAACGCGCTATTGTATAGTCTAATTTTCTTCTTCCATAGCTAAAGCAGACGAAAAGTACTACCTAAACATTGTGTTAACTTTATTTGCTGAAAGTCTAGCAACAGTTTAACTATAAAGGAAATAGTTGATCCATAGTATATTCTGAATGAAGCTTGTTAACGTAATCTGTAAGTACATCGTTAATGATATTTTTTATTACTGGCTGCAATTCCTCTTTCAAAATGTTTATATTCTCGTTGAACATTTTGTTTGCCACTAACGTAAGTTCTTCGTTGCCACCAAACAGATTTTCAAAGTGAACAGTTACATTTTTTATATCGAATTCAATATCTAACTTGTCGAATCGAATATATTTTTCTCCGCCTTTCTCATATAATTTTCCCCACCAAAGAGTAGTAGCTGATACATCACCTGCAAGTCAAATTTGACTTAGATTGTCAGTTCTAAGCATTGAACTGTATATTCCTATAGTCAGTAATTGGAACGGCCTCGATAACCAAAATCGCGGGCCGCCTAACGTGGGCTTTGGCCTCATCCTTGTTTGGCACGTTGTTTTGTAAAACGCATAAACGCCATGTGAGTTACTCTTGCAACATTTGTTTACCGGCGATGCGATTCCAGTTACGAGTATCTGGTTCAATGATTCTAAGTGACTTACTCCCATTCAACTCGCAACGTCCGATTCCAGCTACAGCGAAGGCCAGGAGCTTGCCCTCTATCTCGTAATCTGCGACAATTCGTAGTTGAGGTACGTAAAATGCGAAATTAAATATTCCCTCGTTAATCTTTGTAGTCAAGTTTTTCACCACAAACAGTTCCAAGCCCATCACTTTCAAATTTTTCAGCTTAACATCCAACCTCATCGATTCCCCTCCGGTGGAAAAAGACACGTTGGAAACCAGTAAAGGATCCAAAGGGTCTAGCGCTAGCTCGGATATGCCATTTTTTAATTTAGGCACAATTTCGTATGCGGTACGTGTCATACATTCACCAAGTGTGACGTCATCTCTTTTGCAGGGGCGTAAGAAGGAAGCTGGAAGGGGTAATTCCATTTATGGGTTTACACCTTACTTAGATACTTACGGATATCCTTGGTAAGGGCGTGTGCGAAACACAACGGTATTACAATTTTTAGGAATGTGTTCATGCTTATACGAGATCTTGTAGTAACCAACGAGAAGTTATGATATAATATGTTGTATTAAACGTTTATCATGTAATGATGAACACGTCCTTAATTAATATAATTTACATAGCAGGAAACACTGGAAACATAATTCATGAGTATAGTCTTTTTTCTATTTCGGTGTCACAATGATGATTTTGTACAACTGTTTTCGGCCGCTTCGCTTCGCCACTCGGGCCACAAGATAGTCGATTACAATAGGTCGCATTGTAACACTTGTCTTTCAATATACTATTTCACATAAGTTCCAATGCACATCATCGTCACGTGATAACGGAAATAATTGTATAAAAAAAATCGTTTGTAGTTATTATTAATCCTTTAAGATATAGTCACCTTTAACTTTAGCGAGATTCCTTTCAGATCAACGATAGAGGCATCTTGATTAGTAAAATTGTCGAAACTAGCTTCCTGAAGTCTGTGGTTTCCTTCGCATACCAAAGTGAATCGGTTTCTTCTGTGAAATGGATATTTCTTAGATTACCCTAGCTCGAATGCAAAGTGGGTCTAATTTGAATAGCCGTCGGCTGCCCCAAAATTCCCGCGCAGATACATTTTGTTGCGGATATTGAATCGCAGCGGTTTTTATTATCCACTGTTATGTCCCTCAATTTATTCGCGCTTTCCCGAAACCTGGATTCCTTTCTTGAAATTAAACACTTTAGTTTCCCAGCGTGACCCCATATTCTAATATAAATTTCACCAAACGTTTTACATGCCCTTCGCCCATAGATCACCAAAATTGTTAAATCTTGTGCGCTTTCAAGAAGAGAAGAAGCTATATTGTTTACAATTGAGGTTAAGCCTCCCATAACTCAAAACTGAATCATACTTTCGATCTTGGCAAAAAAGTCTCCCTGAAAGACAATCCCCCCCCCCCTAATTTCTTTTACCAGCTCTTCAAAATTTCTCTCAGAAACTGCTAGTTGGCCTCAACAAACGTTGGCACATAAGAAGGTGAGAGAGAGAGCTATGCGCAGGTGACCATTTCAGAGTATGCAGAAGGAGCCAAGTGGCTCCGCGGCGCATCTTTCGTCTCCTTACGTGCCGGTATCAGTATTAGAAAGAAGTTTTTTTAAAATACGAGTATGCCACTAATTTCTTGTTGCGCTGCTCGTTCCGAATTTTTTGAATGATTTACTTAGCACTCCTTTATCTTTTCTCGTAACGTAATAAGGCACACGGTTTCCATAAACAACATTTATGAGCTCGTGGTTCATTAAAATATCTATTTAACTCGAAGGTTGTTTTTATTTCTATGCAGATCGTGGCCTTGCGGTCCATGTATCTTTGCACTGATGTTGAGTGCTTTTAATTACTGATGATTGATTAGAGATAATGGCCTCACATTGGAACATCATAATCAATGAATGTGTAATAATGCAAATTTATTACCTGATGCGTTTATTAATAAAGACAAGAATGCAAAGTAGTTGATATGAATACTAGTAACACATGAGATCCAGTCGTGTCGACCATATACAGTGTTTGTAATGTACACCAAGTACTTACAAAAGCGACGTATTTCATTTTCCATTTGAGAGCATGTCAAGTAGAATCTATACAATAAAACGAATTGCCAAAATGTTGGTTGATAGTTACGCATTCTAACGACATCTTTCATTCTTATTTCAAACAGGACGCGGAGCACGGTATAAAATAACGTTCAGAACATATGACAATGCTGTTTCTATAGAAACTGCCGTGAAGTAGAATCTAAACTTCCTATTTTTAACGTCAAAATTAAATTCAGAATTGTCAGAAGCTTTACAATGCTTTTGCTATAAAATAAAGTTTTACACGACGATAAAGGGAAACCAATCATCTCATTGAATGATAAATTGTGACCTTTACTTGTAAGTAGAAAATTAAGTTAATTGCAAGTTAGAGAATCAAAACTTTGCATAAATCCTCGATGTTTAGAGAACACGGAAATTCAAAGATTATTAAAGTATTCTAAATTCTGAATATTATGAATGGGCTTACATAGTCCAATTCTCAGATAATTTTGTTTATGAGTACTTTGAAGGTCGGGTGTGTTTAAATTACCATGATGAGATCCGAGTCAGAATTATGTTTCGCTTGGTGTAAAATTACCAAAGAAGGCCAAATCATTATCATTATCATTATTTAATCGTAGTGTAGATTTTTAGCGCATTTCCACAAAAATAAAAAAAATGCGCTATTGTGGCCCCATTATCCGTCCGTCCGTCCGTCCGCTCGTTCGTTGAGACGCTACTAGTTCTTTATCTTAAGAGCTATTGTTTTACTTTTTTCGCTATTTGGTTCGTTATGGTGTCGAGGCTTGCACCAAGGAAGGAATATTTTCTGCGTTTATTGCTAAAAAAGTTATTGTAAAAAAAACATAAAACCGTTTTTTAGATGTTCCATAATTTTACACTGTTGCCGTTTATTAACGATCCTAGAAATCGTTTATAATTTTGTATTGCTGTCTGTCGTCTGTCTGTTGGTCTGTCCCTCTGTTCCTTTCTCTGTCTGTCCCTCTATCTGTCCGTGTGAACGATAACTTTGTTTAGAAATGTCTGATCGCTTTTAGATCTCCGTTAGTTGCATGAAATTCAATATGGGCATCGCTTTAGCCATATAATACGCAATGCCAAAAGTTGAGTCGAATCGATTCAAAATTCACAGTGCCCTTTTCGCATCTCGACCATTTATAAACCGAATTGCAAACTTTTTTTACTTATAAAAATATAAAAGTACCTATTTGAATGAAATTTGATACATAGGCACTTGGAATAAATGAAAATCTAACGCCAGTTTCAAAATTTGGTTTGGTTTGGGACCTTAAATCGGTCACTTCTGATACAACGGGAAAACTCTCTGTTCACCCCGACGATCAAAGCAGGACCCCCTTTATTGGTATTGGGACCGTCTGGTCGCTTTCAAATCTAAAACGGCAATCTCTTGAGAACCGTACCGGTCGAATGCCCTCAAGTTCTCCAAAAACGTTCGGAAGGATCGTAATTTTCTCACGCTCCCAATCGCGAAATAGGTTTCTTTTTTATTGGATAGTGTCATTTTTACCACCAATCCCAGATGGTTTTAAACGCCGTTAATCAATTCAAAAAATACACTTCCAGCAGTTTCCACGGTACGAGTCTTATGATGAGTTCACTAATGTAATTCAATACAGCGCATTTGGGATGTGAAACCTGACACGAGACCTGACACTAAACTGAGACTGGAAGGAACCCCAAGCTATTAAAAAGCAAAAGCCCATACAAAATGAATATGTAAACGTAACGCATATTCCGTTGACCGCAATCAACCAGATAAATTTTTTAGATCATCACGACCAAAATTTGTTTGGGAACATATTCCAAAACCTTGGCATTCTTTTTTACACTTTTTAAAATTCCCATTGTAATTATTGATGCAAATTAATTCCAAATTTAAGTCCAAACCTCTCTCCTTACACTTTTAATGGTTTTTCCAGTCTCTGGCAAAAACAAGTGCAGAAGATATAATTTTACCCCTATCTTTGGAAAGTGTACCTACTTGTTTCTTTAATGTCTAAATATGCAAAACCTATCTTTGCAGAAGTGTTACTTATGTTCAATACACCTTCAAAAAAATTAGCTTGTTACAAAGATAATTCTAGAAGTTGTAATTTTACCCATATCTTTGGTCCTTTTACCTCCGAATTTGCATTGTTACATTGTAATATTTGTAATTATGCATAGGCATCGAGGAAATACAATTTTCCTCAATGGCATAGGTAAGCATCGATACCACTTGGTTGCGGTATATGTGGAGCAAGCGGTAAATTGTGTAAAATGCAAAAAAAAACGCCGACTATCATTAATTCTTATTCTGTGTAGTTTGCATTAATAAACTTTTTCACAATTAACGTCTAAGGATTTATTTAATTTTCTATGTTTGTAATGAATATGCCATGTTATTGATAGTACAATTAAGTATGATGTTCAACTTTGAACAGCGTTATTACTATGTATGACGATCTCGCAATAATCAGCTACCTGTAGTGCTTGTTTCCGAGCTCTCAGATCGCTTTCTGCAAATGCAAGAGATGTCTTTGGCTCTTAGAGTAGGTGCGCTGCAAAATCTGATACACTTTTTAATTGCAGTGTTGATTGAAGTTTTGAATGAATGCACCAAAGGGTAGAAGATTAAAATTCCTTTCACATTTCCTTCATATATGCCAGCATTATCGATACATTTAACCTTTCATTTTCTTTGTAATAGGCTTTTGCATTTTGATTTTGCAGGTACCAACTTTTACTCTGCATTTGCAACAAGTCGCCGAATGGACGGTGTATTGACCGAAGTCATTTTATTTACAAAGACGGTGATTTTCAAGTTACAATCCCATGGCAATCATGAAATTATTTAATTAGAAATATATTCGAGTATAACATCAATATGATTTCCTTTTTTTCTCTTATTTTTAATTATATTGCAGGTATAATAAAAAAAAAGACTATAAGACACGCGTGTATAGTTGGTCTGTAAAGCACTTGCAGTGCGTTTAAAGGCACTCCGCTACGCATCGTGCTTGAACTATTTTTTATGCGTACATCAAATGTTCCATTTCGTTGATCATATTCAAACAGAGAAGTATTGTTTGGTTGCTAGGAGCAGAAAAGCGGAAAAGAGGCAGAGAAAGTTTACTTCTCTAAAGACACCTCGTACGAAAAATGTCCGACTTGTAAGGGAAAACTGACTTCTCGTCCTTATAAACAATATACCTACTATTTTCCCGAAATGTTCATGAAACCTCAATTTTCATGCTTACTTTATGTCCAGAAAATTTAGCTTCCATGACTTTACCTGACTGCTTTTCAATTTTCATATAGAACTTTGGCAGTGATAACAGGCGTCATTAGACATTACAATACGACATGAAAGGAGTCGGGTAAAGGCCAGGACTACTACCGCTTGCGTCCAATAACACCTGTCATCACTGACACTTTGATATTAGTCAAAAGTTCTATATTTCCTCTCCAGTAATGTGTCATTTTCATAACTGTTATGTAAATAACTATTAGGAAAATCGTTACAGTCCTTTCCATATAAATCCAGTGATTTATCTATGCAATCCTTACAAACTATTTGTAATGGTTGTAGTCACCTCAGTAGATATATGAAAATCATCTAGGCAAAACGGCTTGTGGTATAGTACGTGATAGTGAAATCGAAAGGATCATAAAAGAAGTAGACCCGATTGCTGGCGCTGGCGTTGTTTTTCAATTCTATGTAATAGCACCCTTACCAGGAAGAAAGTGAAAATTGCACCCCTTGCAAATGATAAGTGAAGATCCAGTGTCGTACCAAGTGACAAATCGTTATTGTACAAGTTTGTATAACGATTTGTCACTAGGTACGCCACTGGAACTTCTCTTACCTATTTCAAGGGATGCCATTTTGATTATCTTCTTAGTAAATGTGCTAATTAAAAAAACTGTAAATTGGGATTTGCCAGTAACCCGCTGCCTTTGATGATTTATTGTTTGGTATCCCCTGAAAGTGTTGTTGATTAAAGTTACTACTGGATCCTTGGGTTCTACAGATCCCTAGCAACAATCTGTTATGCTTAGAAGGCGGAGTCGACGTCACTGCGTAACTATTTCATAATCTGGTTTTGACTATGTGTGACGTCATCTTCGGCCCACTTCGGAAAAATGACTTGCTACTTTTGGTTGCTGCTTTCACACGGGTAACGAACAATAGGAAAAAAACGCTGCTGTCTGGGAAAATTAAGTGGACCTGGACCTAACAGAAGGTTTCAATAAGTAAAAAGCCCAGTAAAATAGTGCCAGTCTATCGAAATGATAATGATCTTACAAATAATCAATTTACAATACTCTCAAAATCAATCAGGAAATAGTACATCAACAGGAAACATATCGTATATCTTAATATAATCACTTAGAATTATATCTTCCACATTTTTCCCTATAATTTGCTCTAATTCGTTTTTAAGCGATTCAATGTTGTCATTAATTGCTTGGTTTACCGATTGTGTGAGTAGTTCGTTGTTCTTAAATAAATCTGCCAAATACAGCGACATATGTCCCATTTCCGTTGTGAAATGCGTTTTTTTAAATCTAATGTATCTGGCGCCATTCTTGTTGTAATATTCGCCGAACTGCGTAAAGACAACACTCAGATCAGCTGAAATGACGGATCGAAAAGGTGACCAAACCAAATCTCTATACTTACTCGCATTAAATTCGCCTGCTCCACCGCCGTCAATTTCAAAAAGCAATATCTTTCCTTTAAAACGATACAGTCCCTTAAGTTTAACTTCTGGAATAACAACTTTTGTTATAAACGTCGCCGTACTAAAGTTTAAACGGGAATATTCAGCTCTCGCTTTGCCGAGACCAGTTAGGACGCCATTTGCCAAATCCGCATGTATTTGCACAGATGCCTGGCCAAGTGTAAGTGACAGATTTCTACAATGCAATGGATCTATTGGTGGATAATTTAATTCCGGTATTCCCTTTATCATATACGGGAGAAGTGCGTCGAAACTATTCACCATACATTTTGATACGTCAGGGTCTGACTTCTTGCAAAGTTGAATGTAAGATGCTGTGAAACTACACTTCAAAGTGCGCAAACAAATTAAAGTTACTTACGAAGCTCTGCACAAAACGTACGTGTGCTCAATAAGGTCAAATGTAGTAACAAAATAGCTAATGTTACCATGGTGAGCGATTTTAACATTGATCATCTCATGCTTGATGCAAGTGTTTATATATGCTCTTGGTAACCTAGGTATGCACGTAACTCTTATGTAAATATGTACACGTAATTAAATTATGGTAGTGTTTTCCATTATTTATAACAGTATAAATAAACATGCATTAAATATATTCATGGCAATTATTTGAATGACTATACCTATACAGAGTGGTGCAACGAAAACCAATAGACACTCTTTATTTTGAGAGAGTCATTTGAGTTATTATTACCACTAGCGCTTGAATCAATAGGTATTTGGTGTGAAACTTTTTGTTCCTATTAATTCAGTCTAAAGAAGAGAGAAAATCGTAATTTTTCGAGGAAAAAACCGAAAAACCTTGAACTTTGTATCACAGTAAATAAAAAATTAGCTTTCTTGTGAGACCGTTTTCACTTATTATATTAGTGCGCCATGCCCTTCCAGAAAAGTGCTCATATTTTAATTCAAGCGGGACGGATGAGTATGAAGAATATGGAATAATGCCGACAGATGGACAGCCGATCAATTGCCAGGCAAAAAGGTAACATTACTAATTTTGGATTTCTTGTTTGTTTAAAATGACATTGTGTAATCGCCGCTATACTAAAATGATACTTTTTATTTCCTAGAATTGACACGCCTCAAACGTTCAATCAAAAAGCTTACGAATCTCATTTAATACAAATCGCTTCGATCTCAAAGTGTGCATTTCAGTTCATCATTGTGACGGTATATAAAATAAAGATTGTCGCTCTTTGGACAAATAAAAATCGTTTGTCGTTAACTTTGGATTTAATACCTAAACCAAATCTTCCTTTTTCTAATATAGTATTCAAAACCCTTCTATACTTATTCGTAAAAAACTGACGCGATTTTGGTGTCAAATGAAGCGCGCTTAATTAACATGAATTTTTAGACTAGGCTTAGAATTTGATATTTTCATTTCGATTATAAAGGGGGTTTATCTTCCTTTGTCTCATCGCCTATCGCGGCACCCGTTCCTTGGAATCGAGTTTCTTCCGTCTGACTACCTGAGACTTCCGAAACCGTGCCCAAACTGTCGTCCTTGGCAGAATTAGGGTTTTCGAATCTTCTGGTGGCGCTCGAGTTACCGTACCATCTCGCCGACTGCCGCCGTGTCCACCGTTTATTTTGTAAATTCAATTTACATATAATTTTCTTTTGACCCATCTCTCTAAAGCTTTGTGTTAAAAATAAAATACACACTTGCTAGCGCATCATAGGGGTTTCAATGTAAAATTCACAACATGCGATTATTGGCTCCCCAAATTATTTTAGGGCAAAAATATATTAAGGTTTCTTGTAGAAAAATTTTTTTACGTCAATCAACCGTATTAGTTTTCAATTTTTTGCATAATAAAGACGGAAAATTGGAAAAATAAAACCCCCATCTTTTTCAATAATCTGTGATGCCATGGAATTTTATAATACAAAAACTACGCCAATATCCGCCATGCCATGGAATGTCTGCTATAAAACAAATCAAATTCTATCAAAAAGTATTATATTTAGAACAGCGAATTCAACATAAAGAAAGACCAAATTACTAAAACCTGTTTCCTAATATAACAATTTACAATAAATGTTCGAATAAGTCACCATTATCTGCAATACAGTAACAAAGTCGATCATAAAATCCATTTCGAACTGCTGCTAATTCTATCTTTTTATTTTAGAAAATTCAATGGTATCGCAGATTATTGAAAAAGATGCGGGTTTTATTTTTCCAATTTTCCGTCTTTATATGTTAAAAAATTGAAAACTAATACGGTGGTTTGGCGTAAAAAAATTTTTTGTACAAAAAACTGGAATACATTTTTGCTCTAAAATAATTTGGGGAGCCAATAATGGCATGTTATGAATTTTACATTGAAATCCCTATGATGCGTTACGCAAGTCACCACCCTGTAATATAATATAATATAATATAATATAATATAATATAATATAATATAATATAATATAATATAATATAATATAATATAATATAATATAATATATAATATATATAAATAATATAAGAATAATTTATTGCCATAAGTTTTACATTTTGTAAACATTAGCATTGTCAGAGTAGGAGAAAAAATAAATATTGGTAATTTTAACAATAATTTATACGAAATGTGCGTTGTATAGGGTTAACCGTGTTAAGTAAAGTTTCAACTCATTTTTAAAACTATGCGTTGGTGTTATTTTTTTTTAGTGTTCTTTCTATGTAGATGAACAAGCGCTACTCTTTCTAATACCAATTAGAGAGGCCCATTTAGTCCTATCAGAGCTCTGTGTAATTAGTTTCAACAGAGCTTAAATTATTTAAAAATAAACATTTAGTTGTTCGCTGGTGATAATGATAGGGTCACTTCCAGTTTTTCTAGGTACGATAGCGCTCCGGTGTACAAAATACAAAAGATTAAAATTATGTGCCAAAGAAATAGTCATTTTTGATAGTACCTTCTGATTTTAACTTTTGAAAACACTTCAAAGTATCGCTCATCGAAAAGACCAGGTCGGAGGGACACACAATCTACACTAATGTAAGGACACTTTTACCAAAGTTTCAGATAAAGCTGATGTTTCTAAAATTGCCGAAGATGCGGGAAGGTTATGATTAATAGGAAACAGTATCACAACTAGGTCAATAACATATTCATTTATATGAAGTATAGAAGGCAACCACAGAAAAACTTGAGTCGTTAGATTAGAATTTTGTGATCATTCTTGTAAATAACCAAACAAAGGTACCAAAACAATCCGGTAAGTATCAATAAATTATGGTTCCCGGTCAAAACGGTTTAATTTTAAATCGGTCGCTTTTAATACAACGTTAATAATCTGCGTTAACCCCAACAGTCAACACGCAAATCTCTCTGAAGACCGTACTGGTCGCCTTGAAAATCGAAACGCGAATCCTTCTTTTCTAGTGGATCGTACTGATCGCCGATATTGGCTAAACGCGAATGAATTTAAGTTTTCCAAAACCAATTCCACTATTAATCATTGAGTAAAATTTTGAATGTCCACAATAGTGGATTATCACTTAAAATGACGATGTCTAAATTTTCATTGGTTAATGTCATTTTTACTACCAATCTCAGATGGTTCTAAAAGTCGTTATGGTTGGAGTTCGTTGCACGTCACAACGTCCAGCCGTGACACCTGCTACAATTGGCTAGTGAAAATGGTTTCATTAGCGGGAGTTGTCTGGAAGACTCAATAATCTATTCGTCTTGACTGATAAAACCCGAATTCTCAAACTTCTAACTAGTGCCACTGCCGCTAATCGAGTGTTTTGCGTTGACTGACCACAAAACGGAATGAATAATTTGATTACATCTGTCTTGTTTTAAGATGTCGTTTGTTACTTGATTGTCTTTTTAATCCATCGTCGTTTGTAAGTCAATTTAATTGACGGCTTTTCTAGTTATGGCGTTTTTTCAATTTTTTATTGTAAGTATTTCACTTGATAGCTAATTTTAATTACCCATTTTAGAAACATTATGGAATAATCCCCAATTTTCTCTTTCGGTCGACTCCCCCCTTCAGTGCTGTAGACCCTTAACTTGTCTTGGACTTTTTCCCCTTCAGAATTTTTGTACCTTTTAAACTTATGGATTTCGACCATGTACCGTTTTCGGTCGATCTTTATGTTGTAAGTTTCGACGCTACAGGTGAACTCAAATATGTTAAAGCATTGTATTCTAGGGCCTGATGATGGCATTTGCCGAAACATGCCGCCATTGGTTATTTATATCTTTGTATAATAAATTGAAATTTATGGGGAAGATTTTGTGATCTTTGTCCCGGATTATGAATAATTTTGTTCGAAAACTAATCCCCTCTCTCTATACTAAGCTAACTTAAAACGTCTATTTCATGGTGGAAAGCAATAGCGGAGATATTTCGTTAATTTCTCACTTTAGGGCGGTCTACAAGAGAGCTGACTTAACAGAATTTTACTTATCGTTTTCCAAAAAAGTTTAATTCGCAGTGTAAGAAATGAAACATAATATGACCTCTTTTTAGCGTGTAAAAAGATACAAATTCCCGTCAATAGGGCGCAAAATACGATTTAAAACAAAGATTTTACTGATAGAAATGATGATGATATTCCATTCGACAAAATAAAAATTGAACTTGACATAATCAATATTTGTTTTGTTGAACGTACTGAAACCTTGACCGTTTTTAAACTGAAAAATTATCCTTCCGCATATTTCAATGAAAAAGATCGTGTAAAATCACTGCTCTCGCGTAGGCGTATGCAAAATGTGAGACAAATTGCTTGTAAAAGTGATTCTCGTTTTACTTTTAGATAATTCATGGTTTTAAGACAGCAACATTTGAAGTTGATCATACAAGGTATACGCAACTTATTGAAAAAGATTCCAGATCTCTAGGACAATTCCTTTAACAATAGTTCAAACCCGCCGAAGTAGCCCCGGACAGAAGGACAAAACGCAAACAAAAATTTAAAAAAATGTACCTACTAAGAAATAGCTTAGATATTTTTTTATCTATAGCTTATAAGTAAGGAATAGCATATTCTGTAGTTCACACGACCTTCTAACCTTTGTTGATTGCTTACAGTAGGACGCAATAACATTTTTTTACTCACTGAGTCAAAAGTAATTTATGTTCCGCGCGCCTTTCAATATGTGTGGGTATTATTCACCATAGTCCACGTAGTACCATGAAAATATAATTTTTGGATGTTTGATTCATTTATGGACGGTTTTTCATGTTTCAGCTTTGATAGTTCGTTAGTCTGACAGTTATGGAAACAAACGTATTGCCATAGAACATATATGTGAACTGAAATATGAATATGGTCCCTTTATGGGCCTGAAGTTTGGATCCCAACCTAAACCTCATTTTTGTATGTTTGATTGGTTTACTGAAAAAATAATTCCACTGGTAAGACGAATCTGACTCTCAAGCTATTCGCTGCGGCAGGTGGGAGACTTCATGTGCTAACCATCCATTCTGTAGAATTATTTAGGTTTATGCTACACACTTTAATTAAATAATGTGAGACATCTATTCAAAAATTTGAACGTTGCATACGTAATGTGAGTAAAAAAATATTTGTTTTCGTGTAGTTTAGTAATCCCACCCGTAGTCTCAAAGTTTGGGAATACAACATTTCTGTTGTGCAACAAATTTTACTTTTTTCTTCCCATATACGTATTTACGACTTTACCATCGGGCTAATAAAAATTAGCATGCAATACAAATAGTGGTTACGACAGATATATAACCGAAAACAGCAATTCTGCTCCCAGAACTAAACCGAACCACCTTGTCCAATCACAATGTTGTTCATTTTACTTATACAGTTTGTTTTTTTGGGATCTCCAGCACTATCAGCAGACCTTCGTAAGTATCTCAGTCTTTGGGATTAAAAAATAACACTTCTTTCAGCGTCATACATAAAACTTTGTAAGAAAACGGTACCGGATATTTCGCAATGTATGGTAAATAGTATTGCGGAATTGATACCATATCTAATAAAAGGAATACCGGAGTTGAATTTTCCGCCAATAGATCCGATGCATGGTAGAAACGTTTCGTTCACAGTTCGCCAATCCTCAATTAAAGTATATGCGGAATTAGGGAATGGGGTTGTTACAGGGCTTAAAGATATGAAAGTGGAATATGCGAAGCTAGATTTTGATTCCGGAATATTTGAAACCAAAGTCACTGTTCCTCGACTAATCATCAAAGGTCAATATCGATTTAAAGGGACTGTAATGCTGTTCGATATCGATGGCGGAGGAGACGGTGAAATTAATGCAAGTAAGTTGATTAGTTACAAGGGAATTGTAGCTACTGTCCATATTTCAGCCGATACGAGTGCAGTTCTCACGCAATTTGGCGAATATTACATGAAGGATGGTGTTAGATATATCAAATTTGATAAAGCTGATCTTAAAGCGCATGCTGAAGGTTTGTCAATACGTTTGGACGATCTATTTAAAAACAACGAGGCCCTTACGCAGTCAGTGAATAAATTAATTAACGATAATATTCAAACCCTTAAATTCGAGTTGGATGAGCTTTTAGGAAAAGCCATCCAACAGACTGCTCTACGTGATTTCCTTGAAATATATAACATGTTTCCAATCGATGTATTATTTCCGAACTAGTGCCGAATGTACAATTTGTAAAAAGTAATTAACAATAGTTCTAGGTAATAAATGTTTACTATTATTACCTATTTATTAATTAACGATACACAGCTCCATTTCACCCCAAGCCTAAAATCTCGATGAAAAATGGAACGGCCAGGACGAGGCGGGGCATCCTTGACCAACATATCACCTGCTTAAAAATAAAACGCAAATAAAATTTAAAAAAACTAAGGATGTGCATCTGGCTGAAGAATAAACAAGCAAGAATTAATCTAATATTCAGCGCTTGCTGATCAGGTTGCTAATTTGGTAATTTTCCTCTTTTTGTCGTAAACCGTATCGAGTTGCACTTGGTTTAAACAAACGCTGGAGCGTGAGTTAGAAAGCATGGAATTTTAATTGCCATCATTCATATATTTTGATCTCTAACGATTGGATTCATAATTGGGGAATTTCGAAATAGTTCAGTCAAGTTTTCCTATGCGACTGACGTCGAGAGAAATTTCTGTGGTCAGAAATCTGCAAAAAGTCTACAGAAATTTGCAAAAATGTCTGACTTTTTTCGGTTTTTCGAAAATAACTCGCCAACGGCAATACTTGGGTAATTTAAAGTTTCGTTTCTTTAGTAATTTATGAAAATAAACCATCGTTTCTGTTGTTGGACCTCAAATAAATTTACACAAATATGTTTGGTACCTATATATAAAAATAAATACCTAAATTTATTTATTTAACCCTTAAATTGTTGCTTGAGTCTATTTTTTTTTAAATTAAATAAAAACTCGAAACTTCAACTTGATGTATCTCTTAAAAAACAATAGACGGAATGCTATTGTGCTGCTTTACGTTTGTCAACCTTATTCATTTTCTTCCCTCTCACTGTCTTGAACCCAACATGAGCATTAAAATTAATACGTATCTACCCCCGAGTACTATAATACATGGATGTGTCTAACAGCATTTTATAGTTTTCGAGATATTGGCAAACTTGTTTTTTTCTCCCTCTTTACTATTTCAACAAGTCAGAAAAATAAAATCTTTTACCAGACCTTTTGTAACCATTTAGCATTTTTGTGTCTAATTTGACTGGACTAAAGTAATTGGATTCACCTATAACTCCTAGAGTGAAGATATAAATTGCGTTTTTCCTTTATTTCGTAAGTAGGTACCGCCATTTTGACAGAAGATGAATACATGGCCTTATCCGATGCAACCAAAGAAGAAATGCACATGAACAATTTGCTGATAAGTCTGTGAGTCGACAAGGAAAGGTAGGTACCAGATACAATTCCGTATGAGATGCTGTAAAAAGGAATCAAAGCAAGGTGAAGCACATGTCCACCGAGGGTATGACTGCAGATATTTTGACGAAGGATCTTACCAGGAACAAAAATGAAAATTGTGTGAAAGGTATAGGTTATACTTTTGGTTTAGAAGGTAATTATTGTTCGAAGGGAGAATATTGCATGTACGACCCACAATAAGTTTCCCTCGTAACAAGCAGTGTGTCAGAAATATGCAGAGTCCTTAAAAAGCATCCAAGGGTGTAAAAACCTCTGAAAGGTTTGTGAAAATTTGAAAATTCGGATCTAATTGAGATTTTTAAAAAACCCAAAATCGGTTTAATTGTGACTTTACAAGAAACTTTTATTTATATATTTTTAAGAAAATGTAATCAACAGAGCCGTGTCAAATATTGAACTCGACTTCTGATACCTAAAACCTAACGGTTGATACTGAAGATTGAAACGATTTGTGGCATATAAATTTGTATCCGATTTTTTCTTATTAGGTACTCTTATTATTGTACTCTAACAATTAACAAACACTAACCCTTTTCCTTGAAGTAAATTAGAATTACGTTGATTATATACTACCAAAATGAAAAAAAAACCTGGTGCCCTTGAGAATTAAGGAATAAGAAGTTGATTATATATTTATTATATACCTAATTATAAATGAACTACATTACATAATTGAATTTATAATTAGATATTGTAGTAAGATTAAATTAAAACTAATTTACTACCTATAAAGGTTTTTACCTGTGCTACTACATAGTGAAAAAGATATGATTCACATTATAAATCTTTCACTTGCTCCCTCAATTGTATACGCAACGCTGTCTTCTACGAAACATCTAAAGAGCCACCATGATATTTTTTATACATTTTTAAAATGGTTACATTTTTAAATTTACAACACGCCTACTTTACAATTAAGTGACTTTAATTTTAACTTCGAAAGGATAAATTCGATACTAGTAGTACGGTAGCTAGATTTTTTGTAGACCAATTTTATACACTACGTTTAAAATACGATTTTTGTTTAATATGTCACGATAGAGTTCTTGTTCTACATTGAGAGTATATAACTAATAAACACCATACGTTAATTTGCCATGCCAATATTAGATTATTTACTTCCTCCAAAATACGGATAAAAATTAGGCATATTCTACTTATCAAAGTTAGATATTGTTTATGTCATATTATAATGAAGCTGGTATAAGAAACATTAAAAATAAGTAGTTTGATTACTTGTTCTACAAATACGAATAAAAATTATGCTTATTCTACGTTTCAAAATTTATTATGTAAGTTATGTACTCATAAGACGTAGGAAACGTTGGAAATTTTTTAATAATAATAATAATTTTATTGTATAAAGATTTATCTCTTATTACAAGATACGAAGCTCTGGATAGGACGCATAGGAAATTATTTTGTAAATTACAGTTGTAACTGGGAATTATAGGTACTAATTCACAGTTGTAACTGGGAATTAGTTTATAATTTACAGTTGTATTTGGGAATTATACTAATTTACAGTTGTAACTGGGAATTATGCTAATTTACAGTTGTAACTGGGAATTATACTAATTTACAGTTGTAATTGTCAATTACACTAATTTACAGTTGTAACTGGGAATTATCCTTGACAGTTACAACGGTAAATTAGTTTAATTCCCAATTACAACTGTAAATTATAAACTAATTCCCAGTTATAACTGTAAATTAGTATAATTCCCAGTTACAACTGTAAATTAGCATAATTCTCAGTTACAACCGTAAATTAGTGTAATTCCCAATTACAACTGTAAATTATAAACTAATTCCCAGTTACAACTGTAAATTAGTATAATTCCCAGTTACAACTGTAATTTACAAAATAATTTCCTATGTGTCCTATCCAGAGCTTCGTAACAAGAGCCTTTATAATCATAAAATTCGTTACAAAAAAATCGTAATTTATAAATTTATAAACAAAAAAAAATTTATATAATTATATAAATGAACACAACTTTAATACCTCAGTAATAAAATGAAATATTGATTTTACAAGTGATTGTGACAGATCATTTAAAGCAAGCAGTAATTCTTCAAAAGTGTTTATCTTGCTTAAAATTTATTACTGATAGGTTTAACTATTGGGCAATCAAAAAAGACGTCATTAGGTTTTCAGGCATTTGGGAATTACACATTGTGCAATTGTGTAGTGTGTCTATGGTATAAGCAATGCCGTAACAATAGAATCGTAGAAAAAGTTGGCTGCTTAACCTCAACTGTGATATCAAACGTATGTATTTGATAGGGATGTTAAAGGTTAGGGATTTTTGGGGTATGTGATTTGAGGGTAGGATGACATGTTTGTAAATGATTGGGTAGGAGGAATGGAGCAACCGATCTCTATCAGTATCTATCAGATATTTTTCATATTGATTTAGGATTTCAGTAGTAAGTATTGAAATTAGTAGGGTTGTTAGTAATGATATTCCACTGTTTTTCCAACTTTATCTCAGAGAATATGCCTTTTAGTTGCAAAACCCAGTTAAAAATAGATACCGCATTTGGAATTTGTTCGTGTTATACACAACCCTTTTATGCCTATATTTATACATGGTGGGTCACGACAACCGGATGTTTATGAAATGGGCGATTGGTTTAGGCAAAGACTCACTTAATAATAATTATGTATTTTTTGGTTTAGTCTTATCCATAGTTGCTTTGTTTTGTTTATTAAAGGAGAGAGGTACCATTAGGTTTTAACCTATTTGAAACATAGAAGTTAGGGGGAACAACAGTTGTTGTTTTCCTAAATAAGTTATAAACACGATCCCTTTTATATATTTTTTTGATAATAATTTAATCCAAACGTCTTTCATATAATTTCACATCTGCTTTGCTAATGACCATTAAAATTATATGACTGAAACACATATTTATGTAAGCCAGCAACAGAATTTAAATTAAATGTGGGAAAGACAAATTGAATCTTATTCACTACATCCCAAATACAAGACAATGGAGCTACCGCTACATTAACGGAAACGGAAAATTAGATAACTTGTAGAGCAAATTCAATATTACAACAAAATGTAGAAATCGGTGAATAACAACTCATATAACACACACATATATTAAACCAAAGAGTGTTTATTAGTCCAATCTCGCCCCCGAGATAGATAACTCGCCCCTCGTTCCGGGTGTTGAGTCTACATTTGATTGTTGAGAATTGAGATCAACCCCGGTATTGAGTGTCGTAACTCATTTCGTTCCAGTTTTTGCCACCCCCGTGACCCTCTCTTTAAGACGAAAATGTTAGTACACAAACAACACACACATCAAACAATTCGATTATTTCCACACATGTTTAAAACAATGATCAAAAATATAAATCTAAGTTGTGGCCAAGACCATGTACCTAATAGAAGCACATGAATCTGCATTAATGTTAAATCAAGTGAAGGCGTACGCCCTTTCATGGTAGGTGTTAAAAAAAATTACAACTTCGGAAAAGGCCTCGCCAAAAACCTACCAAAAAAGTCCTACCAGTCTTTGTCACTCTTATGGTTGCCGAGAAAAAAAATAGAGAATAAAGCAAATTTTACCACTTTTTGCGGGTTTATTTGGAAAAAGTGCTTGTCGATTAGTATTATAAATTCCTTCCATTTTATCTAATAGAATTTTATACGGGGTGTCCCAAATTAAGATGACGCCATCGACATTTTTTTAAACCGGTAACTGTGTATCAAATTTCAAATTTAAATTTAATTCATTTGGAAATTATCAATTGAAAGGAAATTAAAAACAACAAAATCTCTAACAGGACCACCCTACCTACTTCCCAATGCTCAACACTTAAAGGTCTCCCGTTACACAATTGTCACATTAAGCACATCTATTCTCTTTTAGTATTTTAACTCTTTCATCCAATACTCCATTTTTAATTCGGCATTATTGCCCACCATTCTTTAATCCTTTGATTGGATGTACCTACTTAATAAAAGGAGGTTTCGGTAATATTTAGGTATGCAGTTTGGATATTTCAACGACCCCATTTTTAGTCTCCGTAATTGAGTCCAAAGGCACTCAGTAAACATTGTTATTACATTTTATTCCAGGATATAACTATATCCTGTGTCTCAAGTCATCAATATACCAATTAAAGGTTTTTCCATATGGTCTTACCTTTTCGTATGTTACATGTGCCAGGTATAGTTAGTTCCTTTATTGAAACATTAGCCATTGAAGCCATTTCCATGTTCTTTGGTTAACTCCTTGTACACCAAGTAGCCAAAGTAGTTCTCGTGGCCAAACCTTCTGATGGTAAGCATTTTAAATGCATCTCTCGGCACCCAACCGTGGCTCTCAATATCCTAATTTGTTCTTTGGTCCTACTCTTGCTTCTTGCGTTTTAATGCTGTGAACTGACATTAGTATCATACACCAATCTGAGAAGAGGACAATTTGATGTTGTTCCAATCGACGAGCCTTTGTCTTAGTTCTTCTCTGTTACACCTACAGTTACGTTTATACTAGATCATTGATTATTACTTGTTTAATAAGCAGCAAAGTTTTTGATATTCTGAATACGGAATTCGTGACCCAGATTCGGGTCACCATTTAAATAAGATTCGTTTTAAAATAAACTAAACAAATATAGAAAACGAGCTCCTGGGTATGACTATAGCATGTGCAAAACCAAATTTTAAACCTGATGTTAGTTTTGCTTTTATTTAAAGTGTATATGTATGAAATTTCTTTTAATTGCTTCCATAAATAAGAAAGTTGGCACTACACATCCTACACAAAACCAAATTTGGAAAATGGCGGTACATTTGCTTTTATTCCAAGTGCATATGTATCAAATTTCATTTAAATACCTTCAAATAAGAAAGTTTGCAATCCGGTTTGTAAATGGCCGAGATGCGAAAAGGGCACTGTGAATGTTGCTCGATTAGGCTCAATTTTTGGAACTGCGTTTTATATGGCTAAAGCTATACGCATATTGAATTTCATGCAATTCGGTTCATAACTCACGGAAATGTCAAAAGGGCCTTCCTTATTTTTTGGGCTACATTGCCAATTCACGAACTCTGATCTACAAATTTGATAAAGAATCCATCTACAGAATTTCATCGTAATCGGTCCATTCGTTATCGTTATCAAGATATCGTGCTAACGGACAGACGGATAGACACCGCAAAATTATAAACTCGCTAGGAGCTCGTAATCAATAAACTTGGTGTCCGAATTCGTAATTTGAGAATTCATCTCAGCGTTATAATGATATAGGTATAGATTGTATAGCAAAAGGCATATACGTGTAGCAAGTCTAAATTACTATACTAACAATATCCCATCAGAGTACCTACGCATATAGAAATCACATTACTATTCTACTACTACACTACGGATTATCAAATTGGGCTATTCCGCAATTAAACATTGCGTAACCAGTAATTATGGAAATATCAAAATTCGTTATGGATCCTTAATTTAATAATCCATTTAACCTTACAAATCTGAATTTATGTTAAAGGATAAACCATAATTAGTAAAATTAGATTCAATAATTAGCAACTACTATACTTATACTCAATATTATATTCTTATTCCTTTATTTTTTATTAATTTCTCATTAAGTTTTTGCGTTACCATCATAACATGTAATTTGGTATAGATATATGTATAAACATAGGTACAGTAGAGGCGAGATAAGTAAATCAAAAGATTTAGACAGAATGTTCTTCATCGTATTTTTGCAGTTCGGTTTCTTGGGGGCTACCTGCGCTAACGGCCGATATCCGTAAGTAAGACTATTCGAAATTAAACTATAAAATTCCTCTTTTAGCATCTTACATTAATCTTTGCAAGAAAACTGAACCAGATATCGCTAAATGTATGACAAATAGTGCCAACGAATTGATCCCGCATTTGGTGCATGGAATTCCAGAACTAAATTTTCCACCAATAGATCCGATGCGTTTTAGCAATTTATCGGTTACAGTTGGCGAATCATCGATAAACATAAAAGCGGAATTGAGAGACATCGTTGTTGAAGGCCTTAAAGATATGAAATTTATAGAGTCCAAGCTAGATTTTGATACTGGAATTTTTGAAAACAAGATTGTTATTCCTAGAATAAATGTGAAATGCCAATATCACTTTAGCGGACATATTTTACTTTTTGAAATCGATGGCGGGGCTCAAGCAGAACTTAACGCAAGTGAGTACCTATGTTTGTTTCTAAGAGACTAAGAACTCACTCTTTTTGTAGACGATATTAGTGCGACGTTGACGAAATTTGGCAATTATCACACGAAGAACGGCATCAAATACATCAAGTTTGGTAAATCTGACGTCAAAGTCGACGCTAAAGATGTATCTGTACGTTTTGATGATTTGTTTCGTAACAACGAGCTCCTCACACAAACAGTGAACCAAGCAATCAATGATAATATTCAAACCCTTAAGGAAGAGTTGGATTCGCTTATAGGGAAGACAATCGAGGAGGTTATTTTCAAGGGCTACCTTAAAATATTTGATCAGCTTCCGTTTGATGTACTATTCCCTAATTAGTATCGCTTAGAATGTTCTATGCAGAATTATAGTCGCTTTTTCTTAAATATATTTCAAGTATCTCTCCTATATCCAAATCGATATTTAAAATGTGCCGAACATTCAGGTAATATAAACCTCTAAATAATGTATGGTCCAATCCAAAGTGCGTTTAACCCTTGAGATCCATATTCCCATTTTGGGTGTGAACTTTCAGACGTTGAAAATGATAGTGGAACGTTGAACAAAGGGAAAATTACTGTGGCACTTTTAGTGCAATCAATTTGGAAAAATGCTGAAATTATTAACAATTTGAAATAACTATTGTTACGACTAAGGTGTGCCTAAGCTATTAAATGAGACAGCAAACAAAATCCATTCAATCGATTACAGCAGGAAGATAAATTGTACCCAAATCAAATCAAAAAACTTCTTATGGGTTAGTTCGAGAAGATGTGTAAAGGCCACGATGGTCAAAACAATAAAAAAACAGGTTTCAAAGCGATTGAGATGTGTACTTTACTATAATATAATTTCAATAGATCATCATAATGTTTATTTATATAAATTGTGTACAATGTATACATCTCTAATTTTTTCACCATAATTGATACTCGTAGTATTTGTACAACGCATGAATGGAGTACTTATATCTAACTACGTCGTAGAAAAGCCTTTTGTTATTACTTTGTCGCAATGAATAAATTTACTATTAATTATAAGTCTATGACTCTAACGCTTGGTTTCACAAATGATGTTTAAGGATAATCAATGTGTAATAGTTATTTACATAAAAGTCAGGAAAATGATACATTACTGATGAGGAAATATTGAAGTACGAGGCCCCAGAGTACTTTAATTTTCGAATCAAGTGATTTTACTTTCGAGTTTTGTAATAAATTTTAGCCGAAATCGTGTTTTAATATAAAATTTCGATTTTTATATAGAACTTTTGATTAACGTCAACCTGTCAGTGATGACAGGAATCATTATAGACATTTAAAGGTAAAGTGACGATGCGGCCAGTAAAGTAACAAGCGGCAGGAAACGTAGTCTGCTCTGCTTCTGTCATGGAAACTAAATATCCTGACAGAAAGTAGGTGTGAAAATGAAGGTTTCAGGACGATTTTGGGTGAAATATTAGAATGTTAGCCATCCTTTGACAATAAGGCAATATGTGTCCTAACCTAATATTTTTAATCATTGATTAACCTTAATTATGGTTTATGAAACCGGGCATAAGGTTGCAACAAATGGTGTAAAAGGTAAATATGTAACATATGTTTCCAAAGGACCCCAATTTGTGTTTCCGTCTTAATTGTTTTGCCAGTATAACATATACAAGGACGGAACTTTTCAATTACGCACTCAAAAAAAAGGTGAGAGGTAGAATGCTGAAGAAGATGCTGATCTTCAGTAACTTTTTACGTGCACTTTATGTAAACGCATAAAGTTACTTTAGTCCCAGATTACGTCTAGGGTAATCTGTGCTTTAGTTAAGCACGATAAGCTCAGACAAAGAAGAGATGGGCCGATGTGGTTAAGGTCTCGTTCACAGCTAGTGAAGTAGAGCAAAAGGAAATGAAACGAATTCATTAACTGCCTAAGAATGAACTTTTTCGCATATTTCTGTTTTAAAAGTATCAATGAATTTACACTTATCTCTTATTTTATCAGAAAATATTATAATTTAAAAAAAAACGGTAGTGCTGTTAATAGCATTACAATATACTAATATTTCAAAGATACCAAATAATTTTAAGAAAAATTCCTGTAACAAAATAAGTAGTTTCAAATCGTGCTAATTATTATGATATTGTGTGAAATTAGCTAAAAGTAATCTTCGATTTATGCTTTTATTTGCTATTCTTACGCCATCTGGGCATTTCCTTGTAATTCCCTAGTTTAAGTGTAAATTATTCTTGTAGTAGAGTTCTTTTACCTAGTTCTTGGGTTCGCCGTTAGAGGCCGTACGAGATCTTGTCCACAAGTTATATGTTTTTTAGCGCTTTATCTTCCCTCACCGTTGTCTTTTTTCCTCAAGTTCATCTTATCTTTCCCACGTTTTTTATTTTTTTATTTATTTATTGGCCTTTATTTTTGAGTGGGCGGGGTTTCATCCAAGGCTGCTCTACCAACCCAACCCACTACACATTTACAAATGCCCGAACCCAGATTCGAACCAGGGACCCTTAGTACCACAGTCCAGTTTCAACTGAACTGCGCCACACGGACCCTCAAAGTTTTCACTTAGTTCCCCCATCTTCTCTCAACCTCACAGTTTGCTCAACCTTTTCTCTTAAGTTCTCATGGTTCTTTTTTTTATTACTTTCACGTTGTATCTACCTGAATATTACCTATTACCTACGTCCTACGCAATACGTGAATGGCGTCGCATTTTTCCTGGACCCGCCATTTTAGCAAGATTGGTTGTGGCCAACGTCACGCGGTGGACGGATTTCTACATTACCGACTTGAAAAATTCTACCTACCTGGTGAATCTACTTCATTCTGCCAACATTACTACCTACTTGAAGTTTGTACCTGAAGATTTGGATATTGTTCCTGAAGTGTAACCACAAGAGTATAACATCGATCTTGTAAATTGCTCCGATATACCTGATTACCTTTCGAGACCCGATTTGAGCTACATTACCTACAATTATTACTCAAAAGAATTCATTTGTACTAGCTTAACTACGTTTCATATCCTTTATATTAGTTTTTTTACCGATATTAGCTACATATTTGCTTTGTAAATTAATTTGTGAAGTTACCGAGACTTTGTCCAGAGCCGACACCTACAATTTTTAGTTACGCTATATATCTTTACTCCGAAGAATTCACTCATTGTCTTATTTCCATTTTGAATTAATTAGATTACATTGCTGGTGTATAGAATATTAGTTATTTGTGCATCGTAAAGTAGTTTTCTTGAATTTAATGTCACGCCAACATTTTGCTTTTGGTTAGTTAACGTAAATTGAATATTGATTTTTATTGAGTATTAGCATAGTGTCTATTCTTTACACTAAGGTATTAGTTATGGTTTAATATCCTATTGCCGAGTGTCTTACCGTCAGACGTTAGCATTGCTTTCGCAATATTTTATGTGCCACGCTATTCACTACCCCTATTGTTTGATTGTGTTGTTACAGAAAATGCAGAACGCGCCCTATTGTGCTCACTAGGTTGCGACCTGAAATTCAAAGGTATTTTTTTTTATTTTCGACGACTCTTTGATTAACGTTTGATCACATACTGGTTTTCGATATAATCGAATAATAATTATGGTAAGCGTTCGCTTCTATATTAGACCTAGATATCAAGTGTGAAAACGATATAACTGCCCTGGTTACCCTTGTCACATCCACCGATCATTTTCTAAAGTGGTGACAGGGACTGTGTTGGTCTGGGTAGAGTTTAGCGGCGGCGGAAAACTAAACGTCTCTGAGAGGTTATGTCTGTAGGTACCATGAACTCTTCTGTACCTAAATGTTTAGTGTTGTTGAACAGCTTTCCCAACTTGGATTTCTGCCTGCACCAAGGGTTTTTGCAGGGTACCTTAAAGGACATACCTATACGTACGACTTCAACTTATCTAAAGTGCCACGTTTTGCAATTTTTCCTCTTTATCCCTGCAGCCCAAAATTTAAGCGCTCATTCTAATTCATAATTGTAAATCCGTTAAATTTGAATCCCGTTGAGTCATTGGTTTATTAAGCGGCAGAGCAAAGCGATGCAAGCTTTATAGGGGAGTCAATGGTGTCCGTTTGTCCGTCTGCTTGTCTGTCCGTCTCTCCGTGAACACGATAACTGTCAAATGCTTGGACCGATTTGGTTCAAACTTTGCACAGTTGACTTATATGCCACATGTAACAAGCCAATTGAAAATGGGTTAAATCCAATGACTCCGTGGGGTCATACCGAGGTGCTCTGCCGCTTTTTTAAACGCTCTTTATGGGTTTACTCCGTATGTTTACTAAGGTTATGAAACGACAGTTAACATATCTACAAAAAATAGTTATCTTATTGCGATTTAATTTTTTGTTATCGCACAGTGAATTAAATAGTCGAACGTTGGTCACAGAAGTCAGTTGAATCCAAAATGTCATTGCAACGAATTTTGGTCTTGGTAGCCGTGGTTTCCACCGTTTGTGCTATTCCAAAACCCAAACCTCCCCGAGACGTGCGTAAGTATGCCTAATTAATAAACCTCGCCCAAACAAGATTTTCCTCCTTGTTTTAGCACCTGGAGTCATAATATGCGCAATTGACAATGGTCCATGTGTACGCAGAGAACTGCAAAGTATTTTGGGCGTACTTAGTACTGGTAACGGCAAACCTTCAATAGTTTAATTGTGGTTATTGGGACAAGATTTTTTTTAGATCCTGCGAGTTTGGGCATTGGCGCATCTCAGCCATTAAAAGTGAACGCGTGGACAGCGGCACCGGGTTACTTGGTAGACTTTCCCCAGAAATACAAAAATCTTAGACTATACAATCACATTTTCAATCGCATTCTAAATGTTCAGTGCGTTTAATCCCCTTCTTGTTCAACAAAAAGCAATGAAATGTGTTTTAGATCAAATGTCACAAACACAGGGGTGGTGTTGACTATGAACGTTTACAATCCAGAAGTTGCTCTTCGCGCAGACTTCGAGTTCCAAAATGCCACCTTCCTTGGCGTTCCAGTGAGCAGTAGAGGGTCAGTTACCTACAGACATCGTAAGCCATTTACGTTGCAGTTTACCAATCTAACAATTTTTTTACAGAAGGATACTGGGGAACGGTAACGATGTCTGGAGGTATAATTCAAAAAGGTCATGAAAAATATTTATCGATTTCCAACTTTACCATTGAATTTAACGCTTCGAAAGTTTTGTTTAGTTTCAAAACAGGAAACTCATCGCAGGATGCTTCCCTTAATCAATTATTCGGAGATAATTGGGATATTGCATTAAATGACGTCAAAGCGAGCTACGAAGCGTTGTACGCCTATTCGTACAGTAAGGTTTGGAACACTATATGTTCTTTGTATCCTTTTGATTCACTCTTTCTCAGTTAAACTAATTATATTTAGAATAGTAGTCGTTTATGGTGTTGGTATTATTAGCACAGTTAATTATAAATAAATCGCTTCAAATGATGATCTGTTCAAAAAGGTGCCACTCAGAACACAATTTTATATCACCAAGTACTTAACACTTTGTCCAATGTCTACCATTGTAGTTTGACCCATCTATGCCCAGGAAGATATCAGAGAACATTTTTGCCCTTGAAATGTGTTTCACGTCAATGACTTTGTTCTTCAAAACATCTTGAATAAAATGAGATCTTATATGTCGATATGATTACTCCCAATCGCATAAGAAACGATTTCAAGTAGATGTGTTCGGAGCAGTGTACTCTGCATATGTGGAGAAAAGAATGATTCCTTTTCCTTTGTTTCTTTGAGTCCCAAGATATTGAGATCCTCCGAACCTGAAAACATACCAAGTACGTATAAGACATCCTACCAAGCGTGCAATCTCCCCTACGCGTCAATCCGGACAAAGGTACTAGTTCCAACGTACCTTTAAAATATCGCAAGCCGCGTTTGGCTGCAATCCAATGCTCATTGCTATAAAAATTGTTGAATGGGCCCAAATAACCCATGGCACAACTTATGTCGGGTCTGGTACAAGTGAACAAGTAAGTTCTCGATAGGGCATGCTTGTATCAGGAGAATTGTCCGCTTTGTTCAATTTCGACGATGTACCAGTTGGATATATTTTGGTATGTTTCCCCCTTGTTTCCTCCTGTTTTTTTATGTGCTAATCTCTGTTTTTATCGTCCTTGACTTCCCTTAGCTCTTTCTTTGTTTCAGATTTATGTGGGTTTTGCCCAAACCTCTTCAGTGCTCTACTGTGATTATCCATGGTTTGCATCCTGTTCGGGACATGGGCGGGTTCTGTTTGCCTAGTGTTTTCCCTGCTGCTTCTTTAAGCGTTTCGGCGATCCTGTTCCTAAATGGTCCTCCTTCCCCTATTTTGCTTCTGATCCTTTCTGTATTCCACCCTTTTCTTCTCCCCTGACAGAAGTTTCACATCCCACCATTCGGTTCTCCTGCTTTGCTCCTTGTCCTTTCCTTCCTCCTCTCTTCCTCCCCCCTCTTTACTTTTCCCCTTAGCATTTTGTGGTCCGATCCTACTAATTTCAGAGTTTCCCATCCTCCTTGTTGTCAGCACCATTTTGGACTTGCTGAATGTGTCTAGTTGCGCATTGAAGCCGCCTAGTATGATACCCAGGTTCTTTCTGAATTTTTGTTCTATTATCTCACTCAGCTTTCTGAGTTCCGCCTGCCGTCTTTTGTCCGAGGGGATGTGGCATCCTATGATTGTTTGTCCTCCTATTCTCGTATTGATTTGGGCCATAGATATACTCTCACTTTTATCTTCAAATTTTTTCACTTCAATGCCTCGGTCCTTCTTGATTACGATTGCCGTACCTTTGCTGAATCTCTCTTCTTCCCTCCACCTATCCACCAGTCGTAGTTCCTTGTCGCAGCCATCCCACTTGTTAGTTTGGTTTCTTATAGACTGGCTACATCTATTCCTTGTTTTCTTAATTCATCGTCAATTAGCTCCCGTTTCCTTGGGTCGCTTGCTGTTTGCACGTTCCACGTGGCTACCCTGATGCTGCCGTCTTCTTCTGTATCTTGGCTCCTATCCTGGTTTTCTCTTCTTCCCTGCGAAGCACTCTTTCCGGACACCATACTCAGACTGTATTCGTTTGGGGACAGCAGCTCCTCCCGCTTCTTCGTATTCCCTTAGCACTCGTGTCCGTCGGTATTCCACCTCTTCTTCTTCTATCTCTCCTATCACGTTTTCTACCCTCGCCACGCTATCATAGTGGTTCCGAACATTGCTACTCCCTAATATGTATGCTATGTGGCAGTGACCTGTGGCTCCCGTTTTTGCTCGCGGTTCTATAACATTTTTCCCCCCTCCTATACTACTATCTTGCTATCTGCACTGGCCGCCGCCACCAGTGACTTGTATCCTCCCCCGAAACCCTGCTTTCTGTGGTCCCTGAGGTATGCTTCGACCTTTTCCTCCATACGGGCATATTGACCATACCGGGGATCTAGTTTCTAGTTCTACTACGTTTCCTATCAATTGTGGGTAGAAATCTTCCAGGTTCTCCCTGATGTGTGCGTTGGTTTTGGTTAATTTCCTGTGAGTCTCTGATGTCACTATGAATCCACAGCAAACTTTATATGGCATCATTGGAGATTTACCAAGCGAACGGATTCATCCTTCAAGGCCATTTTTATACACTGCAGTTGACTACGCAGGTCTATTACTGATTACGGATGGGAAAACAAAGAATAGAAAAATATTAAACGCTTATTTATGTGTTTGTCCACTAAGGCTTGCTGGCGACCTTTCCACGTTGTCATTCCTTAATGCGTTCAAACGATTTTTTCGGCGAAGGGGCCTTTCCAGTACCCTGTATTCATATAATGGCGCCAATTTTATAGGTGCTAACAAAGAATTGAAATTGCTTTCAAATTCCGAATTCTCAAAATATTTTTGGCAAAATTCAATCGATTGGAAATTTATGCCACATCATTTTGGAGGATTGTTCTTAACTCCCGCCCTATTACTCTGCTATCCGAAGATCCTAATGACTTAACTACCCTGACACCTAGCCATTTTTTGATTGGAGACGTCTGAGGTGCGCTCCTTAAAAAGACAGCACACACATTCCCATGAACAGACTCAACCACTACACATTATTAAACCAAATGTTTTGGAGAAGGTGGAAAACCGAGTATATTCGCCCCTGTAAGCGAGAAGGAAATGAGTCAACGCGACGCCCGACATCAAGATGGGTACGATGGCACTCCTGAAAAACGAAACAACACCATTTATACTATGGCCATTAGGAAGAATAGTGGAATTGCATTCAGGTCAGGACAATATTACCAGAGGGGTCTCAGTTAAAACAGCAACTTGGCTCCATAAAAGAGCAATTATAGTGAAAGTGTGTATGTTACCCATAAATGTGTAATAAAGACGTTACAAACTGTAACAAACTATAACTAGAGGAAGGGGGGTTGCATGTTAAATATTGTACAATATTGTTCCATTGCACCTACGCCTCTCTAATGCCAGCTTTTTTATATTATACCTACTCCAAGCAACAAAAATTCGCAATGTTAATCTAGTCTAGGCGATAGAGACTGTAAAATTGGCAAACTGGACATTTTGAGGTGGAAAAGAAAAAAATGGTGGAATATGTTCAGTTAGGTGTCAAAAACAACATATTAAAAATGCCACCCTCCAGACCCTGTGCTAAAGGCTCCAGCCACCCCATCATCCCCCAAAAACTGCGTTTTCGCTCTTTTTGGCTGATATCTCGCGATCTATGAGGATGAAATATTTTTAGCTGAAAATATTTCTCGGGAAATTTCATACAAGGTAGATACTCAGGAGTTAGCCTAGGTGTACCTCTTAGCCTAGAAAATTCATAAAAGGGGGCGAAAATCATCATTTTCGTTTTTTTTGCGGTTTTTTGCAAATATATCGCGACCTTCAGGGCTAGATGATATATATTTAGCTGAAAATGCTCTTCGTGCAATTTCATACGAGATAGGTAACTGAAGAGTTGGCGTAAAGTCACCTTTCACCTTCAACTTTCATGTGGAAGGAAATATTCATTGTAAAACAAAGTATTTCTATGTACCATTTATTAACGTAAAAATAGTATTTTTATATTAAAATATTCACACATTCATTTATACCTCAACGTAATCATTACCCTTATACTTATCCAAATCAATTCGTACTTTTTCGATCAGACTTCTTAATCAAAAGTTATAGACTAGAAACCAATTTGAAAAAAATTCAAAGGGCTGTAACTTTTGAACTAGTAGCCCAATCTTGGAACTGTTTGAAATTATGGATTCTACAGGCCACATTCTATAAGAAAGATTTTTTTCCGGGTCGATCTGAGACAATTTTTGTCGGGGCTCAAAAAAAGGCAGTGTATAACCGTCTTTTTTTTTACCAAAAATCGACTACACCAAAATTTCTCGGGAAAACACTTTTTCTTATTAATTTGGGTGCGTAGAATCCAAAACAATTCGTGCTTTTTCGATTAGACTTCTCAATCAAAAGTTATAGACTAGATGCAGATTCCACTTCTTCAGGCTCTTCGACGTCCTCTAGTGGTAGTGGGTCGTCTGAGATTACCGACTTGTAGTTCTCGTCTTCCGCTTTACCTGATGCATGGGTACCCTGAAGAGACGACGTGGCATTTAGGCACGATGCTCCATGACACTGGACGCAGATCTCATTACACTTCAGACCTACAACAAGAAGCATTATGTCAAAAAAATGTTTATAATTATGTATGCGATTATAATATTCTCTCGTGTGTCCTAAGTGTCCGGTAGAGAAGGTTTACCTGATTTCCTGCAACTGTTTCAGAAAATCAGGTAAACCTTCTCTACTCGACACTTAGGAGTTAGGACACACGAGAGAATATTATATTCGTATACTTAATTATAAAATTTTTTTGACATAATACTTCTTGTTGTAGGTCTGAAGAACGAATTCTGCGTCCAGTGTCATGGAACATCGTGCCTAAATGCGACGTCATCGTTTCATGGTGCCCACGCAGGTAAAGCGGAAGGCGAAGAGAACCACGAGTCGGTAATTTCAGACGACCCACTAGCACTAGAGGACGTCGAAGAGCCTGAAGAAGTGGAATCTACAGAGGATAATGATTACGTTGAGGTATAAATGAATGTGTGAATATTTTAATATGAAAATACTGTTTTTCTACGAAAGTGATGAAAGTCTTGTTTTCTGAGAAAAAAGTAGCCTTTGAAAGTAGGGTTTTGTCGCACTAGTGTGGAAAAATTTTTCCACACTTATTTTCCACACTCTTAAGTAAAAACAAAGATACCTTTTTTTTATTTTAATGCCACAATTTACAATTACAGCTACTTCTGGCTAGTAATATTTAAATTAATGGTAAATGATGAACAGTTACTTATATTAACACCTGGAAGTAACGAATTTGACACAGAGCATTTAGAAGTTATTAATGTAGATGTGGACGCTGTCGAAGATGTGCAACTTGCAAGGATCATCTGGTTGACATGTCGAAGGTGTGCAAGGATCATTTGATTGACAAGCATTACCAATTATTTTGTTACATACTTCTAATTTGCCTTGAAGAGAACCATCTACGTATCCTTCCGCTACCGTCGACGACCGCCAGCCCCCATGACGTTTAAGACTCAAAAGGTCTGCTCCAGCATTAGCAAGTAGCGTTGCGGAGGTACGCCGAAAACAATGACCCGTAAAACTAGAAGCATTTGGCAATTTCAGGTAACTCGCAATTTTCTTAGGAATTGCTCCAAATGTATTAATACCCACAGGTTGTACGGTACATTTTCCCATTTTATAATTTAAAAAAAGTCGCGAAGTTTGAGCATTTTGAGGACGAAGCGCTTTATATTTCTGGTACAAGTGTATCCAATTCTCTTTTCCCTCCGTAACAGAAAAAGTTCTTGGAACATGCGTTTTGGAGTCTGGAATCGTTACGAGTAAAAACGTATCTTCGCCTTGGATATCGTTCACCGTCATTTTCGTCAACTCCTCTCGACGACAAGCCCCAGCAACTCCTAATATTAGAGCAACCTACAAATAAATTTCATTATTTGTGTGACATATAACAAATGTATAGACATGAAAAAATAGTAGGTAAGTATAGGTGCTTACTTTCATCATTAAAAATGTTTCATCGGGTGCTTCCTCTAAAAACGTTCTGATTTGTTGTCTCGTAAAAGTCAGCGATTTTTTCGGCTTGTGACCAACAGATTTACGTTTCAAAAACGATTGTAACTTGGCATACTTGGAAATGTCGACGTTGTCTTGCAAAATCAACATACTTTTCAACATGGAATACATTGACCACAGTGTCGATGATTTCAATTTTCCAGATTTTTCGACAAAATAGGCAAGCAACACGGTTTCTGTATACCGCTTGACTTGTTTCATTTTACACCAATTAAAAAACCTCTCTCGTTCTTTTTCGTACCGATTTCTCGATTTTTCAGGCAAAAGCTCAGGCATAATTGATTCCGCCATTGCAGCAACCTCAGGCGGAGTGCACATAAATTCATCGCCGCTCTCACTTTCTTCATGAACACTCATTTTCAGCTTTTAAATTCTTGTTTTACTGAAGAAATTGCTTCGTACAAAACTACATGCAAAATTACTAACCGGCTTTTTTATAAACAACTCGTTGGTAACTAAGACAACGTAGCGGCGTCACGAAGACTTGATTTTATATTTTTACAGATAAACCTTAGACCATATAGTACATGGACTGCTATTCGCTCTATGCTTTCAATACAAAATAGGTGGTCACGGATAGGGGGCGCTGTAGTCGTGGGTATGTGAATCTCAGGGTAAACTAAAGTCGTGTAAACACCACTCGTATCACAAAAACAGCAGCTTCTGTAGCAATCAAGTCGTACGAGATGTTTTAAATGCTATTCTTTATCTTCTATACTTCCACAAATAAGAATAGGTTTAATTTTTTGGCATTTCTATGCGATTAATTATTTGACGTTTGTTAATTTAAAGGTTGACAGTTCAAATCGTGTCTCATCGAACAACTTCGGATAGATTCGTTTACCCTGAAACTTATATACCCAGGCGATGTCCTTGACCAAATTTTAGTTGCAATTAGCAGTCCATGTACTATATGGTCTAAGAGATAAACACGAGAATCGTACTACGACTTGATTTATACAGAAATTGTTGTTTTAACATTTTGATATCAAATTTTTCTCTAAATCTTTAAATTCGAGAACTTTCGTAGAAAAAATAGTATGTAATACACTTGCGGAAAGGATTATTGAAAAACTTGTATGATTGGAGCACTCGCTAACGCTCGTGCTCCAACTTTCATACGCGTTTTTCAATAAAGCCCTTTCCGCACTTGTATTACAATATACTATTTTACGTTAATAAATGGTACATAGAAATACTTTGTTTTACAATGAATATTTCCTCACACATGAAAGTGGAAGGTGAAAGGTGACTTTACGCCAACTCTTCAGTTACCTATCTCGTATGAAATTGCACGAAGAGCATTTTCAGCTAAACATATTTCATCTAGCCTGAAGGTCGCGATATATTTGCAAAAAACCGCAAAAAAAACACGAAAATTGATGATTTTCGCCTCCTTTTATGAATTTCCTAGGCTAAGAGGTACACCTAGGCTAACTTCTGAGTATCTACCTTGTAAGAAATTTCACGAGGAGCATTTTCAGCTAAAAATATTTCATCTAGCCCTAAAGGTCGCGATATATTTGCAAAAAGCCACGAAAATTGATGATTTTCGCCTCTTTTATGAATTTCCTAGGCTAAGAGGTACACCTAGGCTAACTTCTGAGTATCTACCTTGTAAGAAATTTCACGAGGAGCATTTTCAGCTAAAAATATTTCATCTAGCCCTAAAGGTCGCGATATATTTGCAAAAAGCCACGAAAATTGATGATTTTCGCCTCTTTTATGAATTTCCTAGGCTAAGAGGTACACCTAGGCTAACTTCTGAGTATCTACCTTGCATAAAATTTCCCGAGAAATATTTTCAGCCAAAAATATTTCATATAGACCTCATAGATCGCGAGATATCAGCCAAAAAGAGCGAAAACACGGTTTTTGGAGGATGGTGGGGTGGCTGGAGCCTTTAGCACAGGGTCTGGGGGGTGGGATTTTTAATATGTTGTTTCTGACACCTAACTGAACATATTCCACCATTTTTTTCTTTTCCACCTCAAAATGTCCAGTTAGATGTCTTTATCGCCTAGACTAATCGATAACAATTACTGAAAAAAATAAATAAAAGGAAAACAATCTTTACAAGTTGATTAGATAAAGTTCTTTTCAATCCTTTATCTAGTCTTCTATCGAGTAATTCAAACCATCCACAGTTCTATACCTACAGGATCAAATAAATAACTCAATTAATATAAAGTTTGAATATATTGTCTAATTTATCATAGAATATACATAATAGAAATTTTAGAGATACATAATTTGTGACTACACGCGACTACAGTTTTAATCTAGGAAAATGGAGTCATAGGGAAATGCCGCAAGTATTCCTTCCACTATGTCTCTGTAAGCTTGAGCGTAAATTTTTTCATAGCCTGCTTTCACGTCATCGAAAGCGAGTTTCCAGTTCTTATTTAAAAGGTTATTCGTAACCACATCGTGAGTAGCATTGTTGGTCTTAATGTTAAATACTATCTTCGAAGCGGAGAACTGAAGACTCAAATCTACAAGTTTTATATACTTGTCTTTTTCCCGATTTACAATTTCTCCGGTCACGTTGAAGCTGGCTTTATACCCCTCTGCAAAGCAATCATTTTGAGTTAGCGTAGGCGAGTGGAAAACACAACTTACCATGTACATAGGTTACCTGTCCTTTACTGCTTAGTGTGACATTAAGGAATGTAGCATTATTAAATTCAGCTACACCTATTACTTCAGGATTAGACACTGTTACATTAAAAGTCATAACATTTCCAGCAATCTTTTTTCTGTAAGGAATTACTTCGTTGGTAAATATTTCGCTGGTTAAACTTACACTTACTTTAAACTCTCGACCTTATTAAAAGCGTGATTGTACAACCTGAAATTTTTGTAAGTTTGATTATACTTGATATGCTTAGGTCCGGGAGCTACTGTCCATGATTTAACTTTCATTGGCTGTATGTCCTTGACTTTAAGACTTTTCGGGTCTGCAATTTACAAATTGAAACTGGTGCAACTCTCGAAACCTTTCGCTTACTAGTTTGAAGAACATTTAAGAATGTTTGCAATTGACTCTTGAAACATGCATCACTAGTTGGTGTACATCTTATTATTGCCGGTGCTGAAAATTAAGTAATAATTATGAGCGACCAATCACACAAGGCACTTACGCAACTCCGGTTTTCCGTCGCAGCTTGAAAAGATAAACACTAAAACAAAAATGATTTGCAGAGACATGCTGAACCTATAATAATGGCACAGGACAAAATTCAGTATTTATAGGCACTTCGATAACAAAACAAATCTTATCGCTTCGTCGGTTCGTTACTTATTTTTTTCGGTTGAGTTGATCATTCATGAGAATAATAGGGCCGGCCATGTGATAAGGATTTCAAAACTGCGTGCTCATGATTTTTGTTTTCGTCTTTAAAGATACGATCATGTTCCAATAATAGCTATATCAGTAGGTACCTACGTGTTTTTGAACTAGGCTTCCGTAAATACCATGCAGGGTACCCAAACGAAGACCTGGCATGAGAATTTTAGTGCCAGTTCGTGTACAAAAACTTTAGCCTGTCGTTCAAGGGAACTTGGAAAGATGCCAGGTTAACGATTCAAGCTCTTCTTTGACTGAACGATTCACAAACCTCGTATACGAGCAGAAAAGAAGTGGTGAAGATGGCCAAAGCGAGTAGGTATGCGTTCCACATGGGGCGAGTGCCGAAAGAGTTTATCTGGAAGATAAGGATAAGAAAACACAAATATTATCATAAAGTAATACCTATAATCATATTATTGCCGGTGTAAATTCCGTTCAAAAACAGCTCAAATGTTTTCAAGAAATTTATATAATGCATTAATATACCTAAAGGGTAGTGATGTATCGATACTATTAAGGGAAAGGGAAAACCAATCTGCACTATGCCACCATAAATTAGATGATATTAATGAAGTTGGAGTAGTACCACGTGATAATAGATCTGCAGGATATGATGTGGAATTCACATGGTACCAATTTTCTTGTAGGGTTTTGCTCTGAATTTCGGAAATTCTGTTAGCAATAAATGGTTTTAATGAAGATGATGACATGTTTATCCAACCCAACACAATTGTAGAATCTGTCCAATGACAAATGCCACTGAACTGAACTGCTAAAGCCCTTTGAATTTTTTCTGACAGTTTTGCGGCTATGAGAGCACCGCATAATTCTAAGCGAGGAATTGTAAGTGCCTTTATTGGGGAAACCCTGGATTTAGCACAAAGTAAATAAACATGTATATTATCTTGGGCGTCAATGGTTCGAATATATGTACAGGCACCATATGACTTTTCACTAGCATCAGAAAAGGTATGGAGTTCAGTATCTGTAACCTGACTAAAAACTTGAGGTTCATTAGAGATCTACTTACGAAGTTCGAAACAACCACTTTTAAGAAATGATGATATTTCTTTGCAAATATTGGTTAAATCAGATCCTGTAAGTAAATCATCAACATAAAAGTCAGTTTGGATGACTTTAGAGGCGGCTGGATAAGTATTGATATTTTCTAAAGCCAAGTAGGAAGCTGAAGAAGTGCCATATTTGACAGTATTTAATTGAAACTTTGAGAGGATCTGAAGGTTTTTCTCTCCAAAGAATCTGTTGAAGGTTTAATGAAAACTTGTCGATACATCTTACATACGTCACCTGAAACGACATATTTATGTAATCATTGTAATCGGAAACGGAGTAAGAAAAAAAATAGCTCTTGTTGGATGGTTGGTCCGACCATTTGTATGTCGTTTAAGGACCACCCTGAGGATGAAGCACAAGACCCATCGAACACAACTCGAAGCTTGGTAGTGAGTGAATCAGCCTTTAGTATCCCATGATGTGGCAAAAAGAAATGTGTTGTATCATTTGATCTTTCTAACTTTGACATGTGGCCAAGCTCTTGATACTCCCTCATAAGTGAAGTATATAATTCTCGTAATTCGGAGTTCCGCTGAAGTTTTCGTTCAAGATTGTAAAACCGCTGAAGTGCTATTAACCTCGAATCACCTAACTGAGAAACAGGTTCTTTTAAAGGAATTGAAACTACGAAACGGCCTTCCTGGTCTCTATAATGAGTTGAAATAAAACTTTCTTCACAACTTTTCTCATCTGAAAAATGAATTAAATCTCCTCTATTTCCCAGAAGCGAGAAAGCTGACTTTGTATAGTTAAATTTTGTAAATGAATTTTAGAAGAGTTTGAGCTATTCGACGAAACACCTTTTATAAGTGGTCCACCGATTATCCATCCAAACTTGGTCTTATGAAGAACCTATACATTATGATTCCCAAAATAAATCTGAACCTATCAGTAAATCACCTGGTTTGGGATTGTAAAACTGAGGATCTGCTAATTGATGGCATTTAGGTATTGAAAGAGATTGAAAATCTACAGGAGATTCAGGAACAACATGGAGTATTTTTTTAACAAATTTGAATTTTACAAATGGAATCGATTCTGGATTCTACCTTGAAAGCCCCTGAAATTGTAATATTAATGAGATTAAGTGGTTATCCAAGTCTCTGACAGAAATCTAAATTAATGAAGTTAGACTGGCTCCCTGGGTCTAAAAGTGCTCTGCAATCTTGACGATTTCCCTTTGAATCAATTACCTCTAACAATAACTGTTGATAAAAGTACCTGTTTTGAACTTAAATTGAAAGAAACCAAAGACTGTTGAGCTTGTGTATTAGAATTAAATGATTAAACGAACTTACCTTAGTGAAGTTCAATCATAATCGTATGAAGATCTCTTCCGAGTGATAAATATGTAGTAGCTCATCTGTGAGTTACGCGCCACACATTTAAAAAACAAAGAAAAAATGTAGGTAAGGCAGGTCTCTACATGATCTACGCTAATGCAATACGCCATTGATTTGAAAGCAACTATACCGCAACACAGGGTAGGTGAGGGTGGGACCTTATCACTCGGAAGAGATCTTCATACAATTATGATTCAACTAAGGTAAGTTCGTTTAATCATTTAATTGTATTCCGCTCTCTTCCGAGTGATAAATATGTAGATGTTTAAAGAACACTGTTGCGGTAAAAACAAGAATTCGTACAAGGGATACTCAGATAAGTAACCAATATTATGTTTTTAATCTAAACAAGGTAAGAAAGAGTAGGTTACTCAAGAACACTAAACCGAAAAGCTTCAAGGTTTGAAGACAGTGGGCGATCATAAAACTTTACAAATTTTTGCGAGTTTTCAGACCAATCTGCCATTAATCTAAAATTGACTCCCTTACTACTGGCCTACTTGTAGACGCATGACGTATACTATGGGCTGAAAAAACTGCTGTGTCCATGCCACATAAAAATAAAGTGATTAAAATCCACTTCCCTAGGTATTAACGGCAATATGTCTAAATGGTTTATGAAAAGAAATAAAATAAGGAGTTTTCATTATCGCGAATGTTGGTAGTCTTTACGACGTAAAAGGAGTTGTCTCTTGTTTCTTCCTGATGTTTTGATTCTATCTTGGATTTTAATTTGGTATATCCTATTTTTTTTGACAGTTTTACATCATTTAAGTATATGCCTAAAAATTAAAAATTTCTAAAGATTAAAAATTCATAATAATAAATTTCTTTCATGGGGATCGCAGTTGGAAGCGTCCCCATCACACTGGGTGCGTTGTCACGTTGTATAGCAATACTTATCCTTTGTTGTAAGTAGTGGTACCTACCTCGGAGTTCCCCAGTAAAATTGGTAATGCGTTTTCCCAGGCATTCCACAAAATTACGAGGTTCTCTACACCAAGGTCCCAAAATCTCAACTGTGAAAGGTATAAAAATATATAAAAATCCAAGATACAAGATACCTAACAGAAAAATTTTTAAAACGTTACTAGGGTCCCCAAGTTTGATTACATCGAGGGTTTAAACGCTTTCAGTTATGCAACCCTCATATCGTCTAATAAAATGGTAATTTAAAATCTTCTATAGATAACAGAGAAATTGCAGACGTGACCGAATTAAGAGTTCCTACTGAGGCTCCTTCGTTAAAATACAATGTTAAAAAGGACAAAATATTTGATCTTGAAGGAAAGAAAAAGTTACTATTCTTTGACGAACAGTACCACTTCTTCAGGTTTGTGTTGTATTGCTTCAACGTTGAGGTGGATAGAGAGGCCAGCAAAAACTCCATTGGGCTTAATACAATCAATACAAGGTTGTGCAGTACTGCGGTAATTGGTGTGGGGTTCTCTTAATATAGAGTAATAAGTTGTAGTTCGGTTGTAAGTAGTCATTTCTGATATTATTAAGCATTTAAAGATTGGGAACATGGGAACCAAGGTTGTACAGTCCCAATATGGGACTACTAAAAATCTCTTTTGCAACACCATCTAAATAAGTGAAAAAGAGGGAAAATTCTTGGTAACAACAGATTGTAAATGCTTCTGTTGTAATTGAAGACGGATTCGGAAACCACGATATTTAACATGTGCATTTAATATTAGTTCTAGGTGCAAAAAACATCTATAGACGGGGTGCCAAATTTCTTTGTAATCAAAAATAAAGTAAAACTTGATAGTTCATATTTGGCCGCCGGTTCTAACCCATGGGAAGCGATATCTGCAATATTAGATCGCGAGGTTGCGATACTCGTTGCGATATGAAGCGTGAATTCATTGTCCTCCAGCTTGGCACCACTGCCAGATACCTTAGCGAGTCTCACCAGTCCATGACACCATGCACCAGCCTAACACTTTAGGTACCCCCCCTTTCTATTAATGTAGGCAATTAATATAATTGAAGGAATAAGTAGATAAATTATGTTTCCAAAAATTAAGGTCTTCCCTTATATCGTATAGGAGATTCGTGATTTTATCACAGGTACTCAGTCGTACTAGTGCCAAAACATTCACCCTTTCCAAAACTTAGGTACAAACGCAGTCATACCTCACGCTAATACAACTAGGAACAAGCTTTCCAATTAGGCTTGAGAAATCTCTAACTTTGCATTTCTCTAGGCCATATTGTGCAATTCTCAGATTATTAACCTTGCCTTTTTATCAAAAGGATATTCGATAGACATATTACCAGAATAATTAAGTATAAAACCTAAGAAACAAATTTTACTCGGCTGCAATTGACCCTTTTTTGGCTCAGTTTTTCTAAAAAATGTATTGTATATTGCACACTGCTTAAACACTGCATTCTGTCTTTACCGATTGGTAAGAAATCGTCTAAGTAGACGACTGATAAAAACACCTTTTGCCCTTAAATGAGAAACAACAGGTTTGACTTCATTTCGTATACACATATGGAGCAGAGGTAAGA